CCCATTTCCACCTGATTTACTGGTCCAGTTGGTATCTCCAGAATACATGCCAGGAAAGCTGCGTTTTTACACAAAAATGGGAAAAGATCAGGGTTGCGTTTCCTGAAACCTCAACGCTGTGTCGTTCGTAATTTCTACCTTAAGTTGTCTCTTAACTCTGTGGCTTCCTGAAACGTTCTTAAGTATATCTTCCATAAGATATTGTTTTGCAAGGTTGGTCTGAGCCTCTCTTAGCCGTCCCTTATCGCAGTTGTCTGTTCATGCTGCTCATGTCAGATTTTATTTGTCACGTGCATCATCATACATAGTACAACCTGCTGTGAAATGCTTATTGCAGCTGCTCCAAGGAAATGTAGATAAACACTTTAAAACTATATAAAAAGAGATGAAAGAGATTAGATATAGTACTATCTATATACAGGGATGTACAAAATATACATCTGCTATGTACGTATATTGCACTATAGAATAACATTAAACATGGAGTTTACGATGGAATGGCATAGAAGTAGAAGTGTGGAGTGCATGATATAGTATAACATAATGTATAATATAATAAATATAGCCCACAGTGTTATGCATTGGGGGGGGGGGAGAGTGAAGGGTTGATGATGTCACTCCATCACTGTCATTTAAAATAAGACTAGCATCGTAAAGGCTAGAGTTTCATAATCAAAAATTGCTTAACAAAAAAATAACTGATCCATGTGATAAAAAATATTTTGTCAGATGCATGAGTGCAATCTTCATTAGGTTTTGTAATTGCGCTTTGAATGCACATTGAATTGTCCTGAGTAACATGCAGGTTCATAATGAAAGATAAGGAGCACGGTGATGATTATGTATTTATTTATGACTGGGACGGATGAGAGGGGGGGTTCTGCCGATATTGGGGTGGCCGCGTTCCCCCTATTTCCTCCACCCCTGGAATGCACACCTCTCTAAATGTGCCAAAGTCACAGTATATCAAAGCTTTAGTTCATGAGATTGATACGTCGACACTGCAGGATCATTTACTCATTTCTCTAATATATTTTCCCCAAAAAAGCACCCGGGAACCGTCCTTAGTAGTCAATACTGAAGCACGTAGGACTTTCTCTTTTAAGACGGTAACAAAACTTTTCTTTTGGCTATTGGGCCATTGCTTGTCCCTATATCAGTGACATGCACACACATTGGTGCACGCAGGTGTTTTATAGAACATATAAAAATAAAATGGTGATACTACAATCTGGGGAGGTGGGTTGGTGCACCCAATCAGCAAAAATCATTTTTCCAGTTAGTTGATTGTTTAAGTTTGTATTTAATTTTTAGCTTCACCCCAGTTTTGATTTATGCAATATTTTGAAGGATTCCTGCTGTATTACAGTACATTTATAAAGAACACAAGTTTATCTCATGCGGCAGTCAAGCAGTTGCTGCATGGATAGAATAATCAATTCTCAAGCCACTGATGTCAACCAATCAGGTGTTCCAGCACCTATTAAGGCCATACTTAAGAAGCTCTCCCTTAAGCAACTTCTTAAGAGATTTTTTGGGAAACAGACGTAGGAAAAGAAATACCTTTCATAAGATATATCTTTAGAGTTTTCGTATGACGCTAATAGTCACTGTTATCAAGAAACCCACCCCAGAATGAGAGCTAATCTGATAATTAAGGGCTTATGCTGGAGCTGGCAGGAGACCAGCGGGAGAGCTCCGTGCTGGGCTGGCCTACAGGGCGCTGCCACGGGCATCCCATAGTGAGACCCCCCCCACCCCCCATCACAGCTGACACAACGGTCTGCTGGGGAAGCAGCATCACCTGAGGGACACGGCGGAGAAGAGGATAGTGGCAAAGTTGGAGGATATCATGACCTGGTCTGCCCGTCCATCCTGTGAGATGGCATCTTGGCGCCCCGTTAGCCACCAGCTTACTGCACCACGGTGCACAAAGAAGCGATACTGTGGATCCGTCCCACCTGCTGCAGCACCTCCTCCCGACATGCCAGCCCCCCCTCCCCCCCCAGCCATAACACACGTCAAGACAGTATTTCTTTATATTTAAAAAGACAGACAGCACTGTACCTGACTATGTAAAATGCACATACACTCCCAGATAAATGTTACCCTACACATATAGTATATTTAATAGTATGTTTACTGTCTGCACTTAGCCTGGTGTTGCACTGCACTGTGTTTGTATCTGTGCACTTTGATCCTTTACTGCTACATGTAAATGGCTTTTGGGATCTTTTTATCTTTATAGGCATCCACTGATACTGCAGTGGTCCGAGTTGACATCAGTTGGCCTGATGTGGACTTTCCTGAGAAGTTGTCATTTGTACTATATGCGGCCCTGCATATTATGTTCAACAAAGATCTTCAGATCTCATGTGAGATACGCAGTTTAGATGTCATGGACACACCTCATTCTGTGATGGTGACGATATCACCTGCGTCAGGTGAGAGACTGTACTGTGCATTATTAAAAAGGTTTATTTCTATAGTGATTTTAATAATTTACTAGGAATTATTGTCTGCTAAAAATAATGTTCTCCTTATTTGGTGTACAATGTTTAGTAATTAACCAGTGAGTGTTACTTTCTTCAGTCTTAAGCAGGCTGCTGGATTTAAGATTCGCGAAGTTGACACTGACGGAACTAAATGAAATGGTCAGAGTATCCTTCTCCCAGCCCGGAAGCCCATTTAACAGCAGGGATCAGGTCAGTGTTTCTGTCTTTCTGTATGACACCACTGATTTGTCAGTGCTTGGAATGTGCCTGTTTCAGAGACAGTGTAATACCCCCCAGGTGTGGATTATATAGCTAATATGACTTGAATTCATTAATAAGGGCATAATGTAACCTGAACACTATAGCCCCAATTTATTATAGGTTTGTTATACATTATTATAATGTACAACATAGGAAAGATTTATTGTAATTTGTTACAGATTTACAAAGCAAAAAATTACAGATGATGAGATGGCTTAATATTTCATTTTTACCTTTGTTCTTTCTTGCATGATGTCATGTATAATAGTTTTTGCAATATCAGTGGAACTTTGAATCAGATCTCGTTGTAGGACAAGATAATTAGGAGTGTGTGTATCCAGTGAGGTGAAGAAGGAAGGTGAAGAAATCCTTTGTGTGCAGTAGTGTAGCTAATAGTTGGTGTGAGGTTCTTGTTATGATTTGCAAAATTTATTTTGGTCTGATCTGCCTGGAGGATGTTATTCCAGGTGCGTTGTGGTTCATTCAGGTGTGCAGCTTCCTGTGGTTTTATAACCTTTCCATAATTCATGAGCCGCAGCCGTTTTTTCCCTCAAGACCATCACTATGTTACCAAATACCTGAACACTCCAGGCCAAAGTGGCATAAGAGCCGTAATCGGAAACTAATTCAGGTCCAGTTTAGAGCATGACAATGAAAACCATGTTCTTAGACAAATAAATAAATTGGGGGGGGTTGTAAAAATTTCCTAGCATTTATATATTTATATTCTGATTAATTCGCGTTGGAATTGGATAAAATTCTTGAAATACTCATTTAACAACTAAAGTAAGAAAGTGTGGGTGACATTTAAAAAATTATTACATCAATGGGTGACATTTTCCAAGGTGAAATTTTGCCATAAACTTTCCCTCAGTCTTTATAATGCAAGTGCAGTATACTTTGGATATGTGACTGGTGGTCTTTATTTTCTTGTTCAGAAAAAAATGCCAGTGCCAGCCAGTGGACTGGTGTATCCCAGTGGCTCCAAGCCACAAGACCAGGGCGCCATCAAGAAAAAGCCTCAACACCACCAAGGAGCGAACGGTTCACTCTCCAGTGCTGGTCCCATTGGGAATACTCAGAATGCTGGGAGTGCTCACTGGCAGTCTAAGGAAGACCGTGATGAGGAAACACACACTGCTAGATATAGCAAAAGGCCCATTCAAGAAGATTTAATGGAATGTCGTGTTCCTGTCTGCCACTATAGTCACCTGTCCAGCGCCTACAGAAAGGAAATGGATGACATACAGGAGAAGTTTGGAGTCAAATTTAAAGATGCTGTTTTAGTTTCGATTGAAGCAAATGATCAGAAGCAGAAGGAGCTGGCCAATCAAGCGTTTACTGAGCTTGTCCAGAGGTGTTGTCTAAACTTTGAGATTGTTACCCTCCCCATGTACAACCTGGAACCAGACAACCTGACAGAGATGCTAAAAAAAATTCAAAAGGATGAAGAGTCCAAGCTGGAATTGAGCGTGTCAGCGAAGGGATACCGTCTGAGTGGTCCGAGAGAGATCGTCGAGGAGTTTTTGAAGAGAAACTTGCCCACCACAGCTGCAGGAGCAAGTAGGGATAAACAAGCAGCTGCAGATGAAGAAGATCTATGTCCAATATGTTTGGATAAATTCACGAATAAGAAGAAATTGGGTTGTTCACATGTGTTTTGTTCATCTTGTTTGGATGGTGCAGTCAAAAGTATGGGGCCCCAGTGTCCAGTGTGTAAAGAAATATTTGGACAGGTGGTGGGAGACCAACCAAAAGGAACAATGACTTACGATGTCATACGCGCCAGACTTCCAGGATTTTCGAAATGTGACACAATTGTAATTAATTATAGCATTCCTGATGGTATGCAGACGGTAAGAAACAGTTATCATATAATTTTCAAGTTCTTAGAGGGCTTTGGCATAAACATGTTGATTTCCAAATGGCATAGTTGGTCAATGGTTATGACTCTAGTCTCCAAACTCCAGCTTGATGGGTTTGAATCCTGCCCCAAGTGCAGGTGTGGAGAGATGTTTTGAGCTCAGGGTGCTGAGAGTCAGATCTGACTGGAGATCTTTTGTTGGTAGCTGTCAGCAGCTAACAACAAGATAACAGGCATAAAAACACAGTTTTAAACTATAGGCGTGGGCATCCTACCCTACAGTATTGTGACATTGCATTACTACCAACAACCAGAGGGGGTGCTGAAGCACACTCAGCACCCCTCCTTCCAACACTACTGCCCCATGCTGTATGTGAAGTTGTCATGTATGTTGTACATACAGTTATGTAAATTGATTCTAAGTTGCTCAGTGTGTGTGGACTAGTATCCTGCTCATGGTCTCATCTGTCTTGTGCCCTTTACCGTCTGGGCTTTGAAAATAACTATACAATTTAGAAGTATGCTTGTATATCTCCTATAGTTTAACATAATAGCCATTCTGTAATCTCTGTTTGAAATCTGGCTGTAGGAAAGGCACCCAAATCCTGGGAAGAGGTTCAGTGGGACAGAAAGACGGGCTTATTTGCCAAACAACCGTGAAGGAAACGAGGTTCTGGAGCTGCTGAAAAGGGCATTTGCCCAGAAGCTGATCTTCACAGTTGGGGTGTCCCGGACCACTGGGCTGTCAGACACAGTCATCTGGAATGACATTCACCATAAGACCAGCCAATGGGGAGGTCCCACCGGGTAGGACAATTAGGATATGGGACTGTCCTTGTGCACTGAGTTTACCTGTCACTGCTTTGTTGTCCCCTCCCTTAGTTTTGGCTATCCTAACCTCCCTAACGTTCTGATTTGTTGTCCCCTCCCTTAGTTTTGGCTATCCTGACCATGGATACCTGCTAAGAGTGAAAGAGGAGCTGAAAGCCAAGGGCATCAAGTAATGAAGTTCTGGGACTGAGATGGATGCATGTATACAAAGATCACATGTAGAATGGAACCCTTCACCAATTATTCTGAACATAATCAGTTTTCCTTTACAGTGCTTAGACTTTAACGGATAAAATTGTGTTCATAATACCACTGTACAGTAGGTATATTACTTAAATCAGTGTGCGATCATTTGTTTTTTCAAGAATCACTTGTAGATTATAAATTATTTTGTCATGAATATTAAACAAATTTTTATTTCGAAAGCCGGTTAAAAGCCAAGTTCAGAGGAAAGAAATGTTATGATCGGAAATGTTAAAAAGTGGCTATTAAAGATGCGACCAGCAGATGGCGAAAGCGCGTATTTTTTTCGCTTTACTCTGACTTGTGCGCGATGGACGCGCAGCTACTAAAAACGAAAAGTTATTCGGAATGGAGGCGGGTCCGTGGGGCTCAGTGCGCACTTACGGTGGAGGGGAAATCCAAGAAAGAGTCGTTCCCACAACAGTAATGAATGGGAATTTGGATTTCCACGAAGTTTGGAGAAACTAACATCGCAGCATTTCGGTAAAAAGGACCAAAACTCATTGCAAAACATGGGAGTGTTTGAAGAAATTTGGTTTTGGAAGATAGAATATATGTAAAATCTAAAGGGACTACACATTTAAATGTCTTCATACATAACACTGAGAAAGTATGTAGAAAATGATTAAATTGCCTTAATATAAAGCGAACCAAGTGGGATTAAAAATGTTTAAAAATTGGAAGGATTCGTGTATTTAAATTTTCGTGGGGTTTTGGTCAGTTTCCTGAGACATCACTTTTGCCTGAGACTGAAAGAAGAGCCCCGAATCTGTTTTTCGGTCCAAACTGAAGGACAGTTTCTGAAAATGGGGAATACTGAAAGTGTGGACGGCCAGGGAGATGTAAAGCCTCACGTCATGCAGTTAAGAGTGCCGATGCCCGACAGCGGAGAGCTGGAGGAGCGCTTTGCCCTAGTCTTGGTAAGCAAACGCGTGTCTTCATCTTACTGTCAACATCTTTTTAACTGTACACATTTGCTAGATCCAAATTGTCTGTCCTTTTTAATGGATAATACCCGTTTAAATTACATTTTAATTGAATTACTCGACCTTAAATACACCTTTAAGTATGGTTATATATAAAAACGCGGACACATATATAAATCCTAAATCTCGCTATTTCCACTTTTAAGCAATTCATTTTGAGTTAATAAAAATAAACTAGATATTATAGACGGTTTTATTGATTAAAAAAATAAACAGGGTTAAGATTTAAACCTCCAACACGATACGCAGTCCTTAGAGACAATCTCATATATTAATATAAACCCTACTTTTGACAGTTTCGTTCACGTCTGCTGATCTATGTACAGTAGATAGCCATACTACCCATGAAGACATTTCTTACAGGATTGATCATGTCGTTTCCAAAATTCCTAAAGTTTAAAGAATAGGGAGTTCAGACAAAGATAACGGGATGTCATCTGTTAAAACCATATAAAATAAAAAACAGCGAGACAATGAAATGTTATACTACCGACAAATGCAACTTAAACGACCTTATAGCCTGATAAACCACTAGGAAGTCTTTCAGTGTAATATTTTTATGGCGCTTTTCTCAATGAATTTGCCTCAAAACAAAGGTTTATAGTTTATCAGAATTTAGTTTTTTTTTTGCCTTTCGTCTTTGCATACAAAACAAATTTTTCAATCTTCAGCCATAATATGCATCTGAGGTGCTCTGGAGATGAGAATAGAAGGAAGACGATTTTGACAAGTTCTCTCACATTGTAAGTTCTGTGTTTTCTCATAAACATAACACATACATGTCTACTTGTTAGGAGTCACTTGCTGCAAGTAGCATGCAGAGTGATCCTTCCTGTCAGTGAGATGAGGGTGAGTCTCTGCTTCTCTGCTGGTTTCCCCAGATTGCCGATTCCCAGGGACTAAAAGCAGAGCAGTGAATGACAGCTTACCGGCCAGGCTCCTCAAGCCTAATCTCTCCCACCATTACTTTTTGTGGATGGTGTTTAATCCAAAGAATTTGCCCTCTGCAGAAAAGTTCAGAAACATTCCAAACAGTTTTACTGAAAAGACAAACATCTCAAACTGAGTTTGAAGGCCCACATTAATAGCTGTTTCTTGGTGTAATACGAGAGATGTAATATCCTTAATCACAACATCATTTTATTTTATGAAATAGTAAGATCACAAAACCAACATTTTGATGGCATAATTAAATTGTGTAATTTATTCTACATTGTGTCATTTCTGTCTTGGGATGGACATTGTACTCATCCAACCCAAAATAAAGATGTTATTCATCAGGATCAATTCAGTTTCTCAGCATATCATGCTGCTGACTAGTTGTGTGTGACATCAACATGATCATTGTCATCAAGGTGGATGATGGACTGGAGAGAACCTTTATCACATCGTTACTTGAAGCTGATTGGGGATTGTTGCAACACATGAATGTGGGATTGAGTGTACTGGAATCCGTGTACTGGAATCCTTTTGCAGTGGAGACTTGAGGTTGCAGTCGAAATGAAAAGCATCTCGAAAGATGCGCTGCTGTTTTTCCTGGAGATTGCGACACGTTTCTTCTTTCTGCCATCTTGAAGTGAACTACAGTACCAACAAAAAAATGGGTCCCTAAGGGCAGAGGGACCGAGTAACCATGGGATTGGATAGACTTTCTGTTTTCTGAGGTGTGAAGTGCGTTTCTGCTGCTCTTGCATGGAAATTCCAACACAGCTTCTGGCTCTGGTCTGTAGTGCCAGGACCAAACAGGAAATACATCAAGGACCAGATCCTGGAAATCATGATAGACAAAGGATATGAATTCCAGTCAAGGATAAATGAACACCTAGAAACCCCCAAACGCCACATAGAGGGAAGCCGGCACTCAACAATGTGCAGAGAATGCTACATTGTCCGCTCACCTTTTGTCTAGAAGCTTCTGCAGTGGGGAATACACACTTCTCACTGCATCCTGCACAAGCTCCTTCCATATATCTGTCTCTTATGCTGTAATAAATGTACCCAAGATGCACGAAGGTGGTTTTAGAGTATGGCTACTCTGCCTGTTTATATTCCATTGGGAAACGAGAAATAGATGGAAAGCCTTACTCATGAAATAATTCTGGTCTGTAAAATATCTTTGTTGCAGATCCCTCTCTCTCTTTTTTTTTTTTACTGTGCCTCTTTGGTTTGCAGCTGTGTTCTTCAAGAGATCAGACGCTACTGTCTGCTTACTGCCTGCTGCAGTTCAGGCACTGACCAGGTTGTAGTGTCTCAGTTTCCCATAATTCAGGATCTGTGCGTTCCGTTCATGCTGGCGAACTCTTACAGCAGTGATACGTTCTATGTAACGTATACTTGGAGTGCAGCTTTTTGTGTTAACAGTACTGGCTGAGTCCAGCTTGCAGCCTGAGCCTGGAATAGATCAGTGCGGGCGGGGGGGGGGCATGAGTCACTGGCCTCAGCCTGAGAGCCACACCCTGCCTACAGGATGGCCAGGGATGAGCCGAGGCGGTTTGTGGGGTCATAAGGTCAACGCGTGAGTACAGAAGGTGAGGAAAGCGGTCATCTTCTCTCAGTGTGAGGTGATGACACTGGGCTGTCCACAGATTTTGCTAATATAATAAACAATGTCTCACTTTTTAAAAAATGCCAGGGTATTGTTAGAAAAACAGCACTTTTGCATTTAGTATGATAAACTCGAAAACGGTGTTTAAGTCATTAGGAAGCATATTCTGCTCTTAGCTGCACATTTTTCCTGGATGGGAGGCGCCGTCGGCTTTAGAATTATTTGTGACAGTTTTGGAAGGGTCGCATGGAAAGTATGACATTTGTTTTTCGAAGGATGTTTTGCTTTATACGAATCTTTTGATGTGGAAGTGGCACCAGAATTAATAGCAAAGCTGCCAGTAGCCAGTCAGCTTCGTCCACACCTTGGCTCTGGACACCAGCGCCACCCCCTGGCCCACGCGGGCGGGACGGCCGCTCAGACTCCCAGCCCTGCAGGCCCCGGCCCAGCCAAAATATTCTGGGCTGGTCTCACTGGGCTGGAAGGTCAGAGCCAATTTGAAAACAGGCGAGGAAGATCAGCATTACACTGCTAGAAGTACTAAGCATAGTCCGTGAATGCTTGGTCTGGTAAAGAAAATAGTTTCATTTCGACTAAATCATGCTATAAACCTTGATACAACATTACATTTACATTTTACTTATTTAGCAGATGTTTTTACCAAAAGCATTATACAGTTTTTTGAGAGAAAGCAAGGTCAGACGATCCTTGGGGAAGCTGTTTTTTTTAATGATTTATGTTAGACTTCATTTGCTGTTGGTGTGATAGGAGAATGAAAGTCTTCAATGTACTTCTTTCAAAACAGAGAACTCAGTCAAAGATGTCCACAGGCCTAATTTGGAGTCAGTGCTAACTGGGCTCGCATGGTCCCCTGTGTACCACACGAAATTACTTCCAGAATCAAATTCTCAAGTTCTTCAGTGTCAACCCCTCGTTATCTTGGGGTTCCCAGCCTTCCCCTGCCCCCCCCCCAAAAAAAATCCTAAATCACTTGAACTACTGTATGCTGGCAGACCAGCCCTGTTTGTCCCACCTCCTTGTCCTCCGGGTCATTCTCCTCGAAGGGAGTGGGCTGCCCCGCACATTCCTCTCTCATAGCTCCAAACACTTGCACGAGCCAGTCTCCCACTGCACACTGTGGAAATGCATCTATCTCCCATTGTCTGCAGCAGCATTCCGCGCGTTTCTGCTCTGACTAACTCCCATACTGTTTCTCGCCTCTCTTCAAATCCCCCTTTTGTGTGCACACTTCTCTTTTTGGCTGGAAGATATGTCCATGTCTGCATCCATCCATCTTTGTCCTACTCTGTTGTGCCCTTGCATAATCATACGTGTAAATGTGTGTCTGTGTTGAGGATTTGTCATTTTGGCCCAACTGGCGTTCTGTGTCTCTGCATGATTTCATAGTGGCTGGACTGGTGTGTAAACTATTGTAGACCGAAATGGGTTGGAAGTCCAAAGAGTTGGCCGTTATTCTGCCACAGTCAGAATCACAGTTCCCATACCTCTTTGCCAACTCTTGTTCCTACAGCTTGGAAGGTTTTGTCCTGACAGACCCAAGTCATTGTTTGAGCTGTAATGGACAGAAAAAGTGGATGTAGTAACGCCAGGTTGATGAGTTGGGGAATGAATTAAGACTTTTTTTCTCTATCGAGTCTTGTGGCTGAACCTTCTCCCCAGTTCCTATGTCTTGGATGCTTTTAGGAAATCATATTCCAAAAAATAATAGTCATCCAGGTTCTTGTGGTTGGATCTTGCACCAAGTCACTGTTCACTTGCTGTTAAGGAAGCAAATATTTTATAATAACAATAATTTAACAAGCTTTAAGATCTTACAAAACAGGCTCAAGATTGGGCTCTGCCATTTCCTGCCATATTAAATTTTGCTCATCCAGTACTCTCAATCTTAACATTTTTAACATAACCCTATTTTTGGGTGGAGGGGTGGCTCTGAGGCTTGGGATCTGTACCAACAATTGGAAAGTTGCTGGTTTGAATACTGTGAACGCCAGGAGTGATCCTCCTCCATTGGGCCCTTGAGCAACGCCCTTAACCTGTAATTGCTTCATCCTGTATGACATTAATCTACATCCAGCCCTGCAAGGAGGTCCTCCAACCTACAGGGAAAATATGGGGGTTGGTGGCAGGATTGGCACTCCAGCTATTGGAAAAAAACTCACACTGGTCTATTCGGACTAGTGTGGTGCTCAGGTATCACCCTCTGCCCAGCTGTGCTCAGGTTCTCACCCCTGAGGTGGTTTGTCAAGTGGTGAGTGCAGCAACATGCTGTAATTAGTGCACACTCCTTACCTCTATCTCTCTATTTTAACTGCAAAATATAGCAACCCTCTGAGTATTTGTTTGGGCTCTGGCCGAACTTGGCTCCTCTCTGCAGAGATGGAAAGTTCAGGTCCAGAAAGTACAAATCCAGACCAAGATTTTGTTTCAACCAACCACTTCAGTATTCTGTGACTGTGACTCTTTAAGCTCAACTAGTTGGTTGAAAGAAACCTTAGTCTGGATTTTTACTTTCAAGACCTGAACTTTCCACCTCGGTTCTCTGCAAGAAAACTCCACTTGCTGCCTGTCAGTAACTCACCGTCTTGTGTTCACCGCCTGACTTTTTCAGCATTGCTTGAGGCACAAACCCTCAAACAGGAGCTCTGATTGTCCCTCGAGGGCATCCTTCCTTTTTCAGAGTCCTGTGCTGTTGGCTCACTGGTTCCTCAGACTTTAATCAGTCCTGTCTGTTCCAGTGTATAATTTACTTTCTTCATGTTGCCAGCGGCTGCTTATGGTGGACAATAACAGCAGGGTCCGGTTTTCTAAGAAGACCGGGCCGAACCTCATAGCTTCAGACGTGTAGCTTTTTCTCTTTTAACTATTTAGAGAGAATTTAGAACTCTTTAATAATACATACAATCTTAGACTACCAAAGAAAATTATGTTTAAATAATCTTTATATTGGTGTAAAGCTATTTCTTTTTTTGTCAAAGTGTGTTAGCTTAGCCATTTCAAAACCTCTGCTAAAGTAACCCCAATATTTGCAGTAACCATCCATTGTACCTATGTATTTGTTTTGTGTACCACTAATATACCATGTTTGGCTAATCAATACATCATCAAGTTAATTAAGTTATTTAATTAAGTGATCTGGTGGTTTCTGATTTTTCATTGTTATTGTTCATTTACATCTGAGAAAAAAAGGTACCACCCAGATTAATAGTGTTTAACATGTTATATGATAGCGTAAGACTTTTACACAGTAATTTAGGCGACTATCTTGATACCAAATAGGATCTTGAAAAAGAGCTGATTGAAAAGGGTTATAGACAGATGGAGTGGGGTGGTTCATGTCTGTCCAGAAGATCGGTTGTTTTTGTTTTTCAGCAAAAATGAACAAAATTCGGCAAAATACCTTGAACTAAAGAGTCTGACTTAGTATTCATTTGCCCAGGAGCCTCAAATTGTTTTGTTGGTAAGGGAGGAAAAGCGGATCACCGTGCCGTGGAATTGGCTTTCCTGGATGGTTGTTACCGTAGATGAATGAAAAATTCCTCTTGCCTCAGTGAAAATACAATGTGAGTACAAAATAGGACAGAGAAAATTTTATTATGAATATCTCTGTAAAAAAAATTGAATGAAATGAATTCTACTAGTGAGGGTTCATAGTGACATAATGTCTGAGTATCTGAAACTGAGCTGAAATATGAACACAGACAGACATTTGAGAAGTACCACTCTGCTCTTGAAGTCAGACGGTCATTTACTGACACAGTGATGTTTTGGTGAAGAATTAGTCTGCACTGTCTGTAACAATGCAGTGATTTAAACATCTGGTGCCATTGTAAATCACTGTGATGTCTACTGAATAGATCATGAGGACTTTGATATGGAGCAGTCACTGGACAAATTTCTGAATAAGGAAGTTAACAATCTATACAGGAAGTGAGGTCATGATTTTCAGTTTCATTGACATATTTAGCAGACCCTTTATCCAAAGTGACATACAAGCAAGGAAAACAGTATATTGCAAACAATCATGCTGTCAAGGAGTCAACTATGCATAGCTTACAATGAATACCTAGGTGCAATTGTCAAAGTAAGAACCTAATAAGACTATTCAAGGGCCAGAAGTGCAACATATGAGAATTCAAAGAACATAAAAAAGCATCAAGTTAGCAGAGGAATTCATGGAATAGGTGATTCTTGAGGTGTTTCTTGAAGGTGGAGAGGGAGCCTGGGAAGCTCCAAGTGGCATTGGTTTGTTTGACTGAAGGGGACAAGCAGGGACAAAGGTCTTGACGAGGCTTTTTGTGGAGATGGGTCCCTCCATTTATGGAGCTATAGGCCAGCACCGACAACTTGAACTTGATGTGAGTGCCAACAGGGAGTCAAGGAGGGATGTGACATGAGAATGTTTAGGTTGAATGAATATCAGACGTGCTTTAACATTTTGAATCACCTGTAGTGGTCTGACAGCACAAGCTGGTAGACCCTCCCAGTAGAGCGTTCCAGTAGTCAAGTTATGAGGTATCAAGGGGCTGGACTAGAAGGTGTGATGCCTACTGAGACAGAAAAGGTCTGATCTTTGTGATGGTATACAGGGTAAATGTGCAAGATGTGGAGACTGCTGTTATATGCTCAGCGAAGGACAGCTGGTCATCTGTCATTACCTCTAGGTTCTTAGCAGACTGATTGTGTGAATAAGACAGTGTGGATGTTGCAAGTTGAAGTATGATGTCATGATGGATGGAAGGACTGGCGGGGAAAACAGAAAGTTCAGTCTTGGAGAGATAAAGCTAGGGGTGATGGTCCTTAATCCAAGCTGTGATGTCAGCCAGGCATGCAGAGATCTGAGCGGAGACCGTGATGTCATCAGAGGAAAGAAGGTCAAGTAAACATGCATGTCATTTGCGTAATAGTGGTAGGAGAAGACATGAGAAATGTGACTGTTTTTCATGAAACGTTGAAAGGATTAGCTGAGGACAGCACGGTCAAGGGTTTTGGACAAGAATGAGAGGAGGGAGACTGGCCAAAAATTCTCATTCCATGAACGATCAAGTGAGGGTTTTTCATTCAGTGGTGTGACCTGACCTACTAGGTCTATAGGATATCGAATTTGGCACAGTTTCCTCCTAGCTGTCCTGAAGTTTGCTTGTTGGGCATGGATCATGCTGGAGAGCCAGGGATGATAGGGCTGTGAGCGTGCTGGTCTGGAGGAGAGTGGACAGATCGGGTCAAGACATGAGGTAAGCACAGCAGAGTGTCAAGAGAGGAGAAATCCTGAGAAGATGACAGGGAGAAGGAGACTGAGGCAGAGAAGCAGGTAGGGAAGAAAGAGTGAAGGTTGTAATGGAAGGAAGTTCGAGGAGGGGAAGCCAAAAGCAAGGTAGGGAGGAACAAGGTGAACTGAACAAAGAAGTGGTTCAGTAAAGGGTGACAAGCAGGTTCTTTGTAAGGATGAGGTCCAGTTTGTGTCCAGTATTGTGAGTAAGAGGAATGCAGAACTAGGTCAGGTCAAATGAGGTTAGCAGGGTGAGGAAGTCAATAGCCTGGGGTTTATCATGGTGGACGTTCAAGTCCCCAAGGATGACAAGTGGCAACCGACATGGCTGACAGGAGCAAATCCAGTTTTTCAGTGAAGTTTTCTTCTGGGTCCAGCAGGCAATAAATAACAATATGCAGTTTTTCAGGGTTGATGATGGTGAGAGTATGATATTCACATGTAGAGTACCTATACGGAGGCAAGAGAGGGGTAATGAAGATCAACCACCCTGTCCATTGAAACGAGGAGTATGGGAGGAATCAAAGGGAAGGGTGGCCATATTGGCATGGTCACCCATGCAACCTGCTCAGCACCTGGACACTTGTACTTTTCACCTAGATTTGTTTAGTATTTTGAAATATGATGTAAATTTGTGACTATTATGCCCTAATTTTGAACACATTGTTTTTTTTCCCCAGAGTTCCATGAACCTGCCTCCGGACAAAGCCAGACTCCTTCGGCAGTATGACAGCGAGAAGAAGTGGGACCTCATCTGTGACCAGGTCCTTGTCCTTCACTGTCATGTGCTTCATCTCTGTCAGCAAATTCTGTTTGTTGAAGGCCTGCAACCGAGTCTCATTCTCTGGCTCTGTCTCGCAGGAGCGGTTTCAGGTGAAAAATCCCCCTCACACCTACATCGAAAGGCTACGCGGGTACCTTGCTTCTGGAGTTGCTGGAAAGGTAAGCTTTAGTTTGGCTGTGTCATCTTCACTTGTTGAGACTGGGTATGTTTTCTTTCCAGTCATGTTTTTTTTTTTTCATAATTCATCATGTATGTTAACCTAAGACACAGAATAAAGAACATATATGTGTATCTTTGCCACGTTGTTTTATGGCCTAGTGAGTTTAAATTTCACATAAAATCCAGGGCACCATTATCTGCACATTTATTTATTTTGAGTACAGTTAGTCGTGCTACATGATATTACATGAATCTGTTCCAATGTGATTGAAATATTAGTACCCAAGTCCAATACAATGCGGAATCACTTTTGCATGATTTTCAGTCGTAGGGAAAGCACTACGTGAACTACAACGTGATACGTTATTGCGAGAAATACTACTTGTGCATTGCATCACGCCCCATGATGATTGTCTCATTGAGTCCCTCACCCTATGATGAGATGAGTGTCTCATTGAATCCCTCACCCTATGATGATTGTCTCCCTGATTATCTCTCTCTAAAATGGCTGTCTCACTTGTTTATTCTGTTTCAGAAATTTCGGCGACGAATTCATGAATCTACAAAGGTGCTGCGTGAACTGGAGATTTCCCTCAGGACCAATCACATTGGGTCAGTGCCTAATCGGGCAGAACTCTGTTTAGTCTATGTCTTATCTGGCTGGGTTTAAAGGTTCGCCCATCCTGTGGCTTCCTGGTGACAGTTAGCCTGCATTTGGGATTATTTCGGGGCATTGGCGCGTGCCCTGCGTGTGGCGTGTGGCAACACCCTTGTTCTCCCTGCAACACAAGCCAGCGCACCCCGATGCCAGGGGCTGTCTCACTCACTGCTCCCAGCACTGCAGTGGGCAGGAAGCTTGGCTTCGGTGGATAGCGCGGTCCCAGTGGCTGGGATGCACCACATGCGTTCGTCTGCTAGCCACTGCGGCCCCACCTTTTCACCCTGTGGGGGGGGGGGGGGGACTCTGAGCTTGTGAAGCTCTGGGTCGGATATCAAATATTAAAGCCTTTTTTGCGAGATTGACCCTTTATTTGTTTGCTCTGGTGATTTTCTGGCTGGACTGTGAGCAAAGGCCATCTCGAGGGATTTTCAATGCTACAATGAGTGCAGGCTTTTCTGTGGCTAAATAAAATGTGGTCACAGAATGGTTTATCTTAAATGTGCCTTAACTCTGACCTCTGGTGAATTGTTATTCCTTAGATTGCCAAGAGGACCTGAAATAGCATCTGGTCAGACAGGAAAAGGGGGGGGGGGGGGGGGGGGGGTCCTGATGTGGTTTATGGGGGGAGGGGTGTTAGACAGGAAACTGATGATCAAGTGAAAGCACACCCTCCACCCCCCACCAAAACTCAGCATTTCTCACACATTTTCATCTTGTTCTATTCCTGAGACCAGCTCCCCCTTATTTGTGGGTTACCACCCCCAGTTCCCCCCGCAGACTCCCCATCTCTGGGTGTTATTTCCTGCTCTCTGTGTCAGGGTCCTGTGTAGCTGGTGAACAGCAGCATCAATGAAAAGACAAGGTCATTTTAAGAAGTGCCCCACTGGGGCCCCTGGGGGGGGGGGATTCATTTGGGAAAGATGAGTAAATGCTCAGCATTTTGATCCCCCCCCCCCCCACGTCTGCCTTCCCGCCTCCCCAGTTTTGGTTCTTTTCCAAGCTTTCAGTAAAATGGAAGAAATGTCGAGTGTGGCTCCTTCATTCCGCCTCATATCGCTGCCTGTGCTGTGTGTCAGACTCCCTTCCATGACATTCGGGCCGCGGTGCCTGAAAGGACAGCCTGCTGCTGGCTGACGCCTCTGACAGAACAGGATGACCCGAGCTCAGCCTGCGCACTGCCCCCGTGTCACTGTGACTGTGACGCCACTGCGTTGTCGTGATTCCCCCCCCCCCCCACAGCCATTTCTAGCTGACCGTACTGTGTGGTGCTCACTCTCAGGCTATGTGCCCATTACAGGTGGGTCAGGGAGTTCCTCAGTGATGATAACCGGGGTCTGGACGTCCTCGTGGAGTACCTGTCCTTTGCCCAGTCTGCTGTCATGTGAGTATCACACTCCTCTCTCTCTCCCAGCATCACTTTTAAAATGAAACAGAACATTTGCTTGATGCTCATGTGGCTGGTGGGAGTGTGGAATGGTTTGACATTCCATCTTGTAAAAGAGCATGGCTTTAACATCCCACCTGATTGAGAATCAGCGAAGAACGGCAGTGTCGTGTAAACAAACTCCTTGGCTGGATGTCCCAGAGAGGGCTGTCTGTGCCATAATGAGCCTGTCTATGCTGGGCTGGGCTTGTCTGTGCCATACTGAGCCTGTCTGAGCTGAGTTGAGCCCAGGGCTGGACAGGGATTAAAAATTAGCCCTGAATCTTGGGGTGGGGGGAGGGGGGATTCTCCAGCATAAATATTATCTGCCCACAAACCCATCAGCCAACCAGGAAAATGCCCAGTATGCCAGATGGCCAAACTGAGCCTGTCTATGCTGGGCTGGGCCCAGCTGTGCCACATAGAGCCTATCTAGGCTGGTTTGATCCTGTCTGTGCCATTATGAGCCTGTCTATGCTGGGCTGGGCTTGTCTGTGCCATACTGAGCCTGCCTATGCTGGGCCGAGCCTATATGTGCCATAATGAACCTGTATATGCTGGGCAGGGCCTAACTGTGCCATAATGAGCCGGTCTATGCTGGGCTGGGCCTATCTGTGCCATAATGAACCTGTCTATGCTGGGCTGGGCCTATCTGTGCCATAATGAACCTGTCTATGCTGGGCTGGGCTTGTCTGTGCCATAATGAGCATGTTTATGCTGGGCTGGGCCTAACTGGTTTCATGAGCCTACCTATGCTGGGCTGGGCCCATCTGTGCCAAACTGAGCCTATTTATGCTGGGCTGGGCCTAGTGGTGCCATCATGAGCCTGTCTATACTGAGCTGGGCCCATTTGTACTATACTGAGCCTGTCTGTGCTGGGTTGGGCCTAACTGCCATCATGGGCCCATCTGTGCCAAACTGAGCCTGTCTGTGCTAAGCTGTATGAAACTGAATTCTACCAAGTACTAAGCTACCTTGATTCCTCGATTACACATTTTTAGCAACCCCTCCCACATGCCCCGCCTTTCCTGTCCGTGTCTGTCCGCCTTCACGTGTTTGAGTGCCAGTGGCCTGTAGATGCTTTTTGAGGGGGTTGGGAGACAAGGGGCCCTGGAACTGGTGAGCTGAGACCCTGAAGCAGAGCCCTCCACACTGCCCACCCTGACTCTGCTGTGTGCCAGTACACCAACCTTCTGTGTGCTTTCATACCCCCCCCCCCAGCATTCAGCTCCTGCATATGTTTTGTTTCTTTAAATCTGTGAACTCAGCTCCTTTTGCTGGTATTTCCGTTTGTGTCATATCAGCCCCACCTTAACCCCAAAAAGGGAAAGTATGGTAAACAAAAGTCAGCCTCTCTGTGGTTGTGCTTGCTGGCCAGCGATGCTCTCAGACAGTTCCTTGGAGGAGCCTTCTGAGAACCTCTATCAGGTCTTGATGGGAGCAAAGGGATTTTTTTTGTTGAATTATGGAGGAAATTTATTGAATATGTACTGCTCTTTATGCTGATATGAAAATATTTTAATGTTCCTTAAAGACTCGCCAAGTTGCTGCGTGGTAACCGGCAGCCAAAATGCACTTGTGAATCAGGACTGAAGGAAAGTCTGGTTGACATTTTGTGTTTGGCGTATAATGGGGGATGTGGGGCTGGGGGGGGGGGGTTGGGGGGGGGGCTCATTTCCACAGTCAGAAGCTGCCCTGATTGGTTTCAGACCCTCATCTGGAAGCTGAAAATAAGGCCAGCCGCTGCTGTTCTCTGCAGGTGCTGGATCCGGCTCTGGGTCTGGATCCGGCTCTGGGTCTGGGTCTGGGTCTGGGTCTGGGTCTGCTTAGGCCCCAGTTTTTGTAGTGGAATTCGTGGGGACGGTGCTCCATGCTCTCTTGACACTGCTGTGCCCTGCCTCTTTCCAGATCAGTCCCAGCTGCCTCATGGGCCTTTTTTCCTCTTACTGGAGATTAAATTGCACATTTATCATGCCTATGAAAAGCAAACACGTGTTTAATTCAATGTAAAAATAAGCCAACAAGGGGTCAGTGACAAACGGCCGGATTATGTGTCGACCACTGGATCTCCATGGTATGAAGTATCTGTACTTTAATTTAGAAGTTTTCAGCCACTGGACAAACAAGAAGCCTAGTGGCTCTAATTAAACAGGGAGGAACGATCTATGGTGTGTGTGTGTGTGGGGGGGTGGACACGGGACAGGCTCTGTGCTTTGACACATTCATACGGGTGTATCTGTGCACGTCAAAAGAGCTCAGGGCTTTCTGTCCTCCATCCAAGTTGAGTCAGTGCTAAACGGTGATGCAGGGATGTCAAAGAGTCTTCTGCTTTCTGGCAATGTTCTTCAGCTGCTGGAGAAGTTTGTGCTGTGTTTCAGCCACAGTGAATTAGCCAGTAAGATCATGAAGCACCCCCGCCATGCTGCCCAAAAAGACGACGTGCACGTCTGCATCATGTGTCTACGAGCCGTAATGAACTACCAGGTAAACCGCACTAATTCTATCTCTTGGAAACATTTTTTTTTTAAACATGCTGCTCTGGGGTTATGTTTAAGAAACTCCCTCTAGTGAATAAAAGCTGTACTGCATGTTATCTAAAATCACCCCAGAAAATTCAACTCAAAATTTTAAGTTACACTACGTGGATAAAAATATTGGGACACACCTCTTTATCATTGAATTCAAGTGTTTCATTAAGAACCCTTTGCCACAGGTGTATAAAATCAAAAAGCCATGCAGTCAGGTTTGCAAACATTTGTGAAAGAATGGGTCATTCTGAAGAGCTCAGTGAATTCAAGCGTGGTGCTGCCACAGGATGTCCTTTGCAATACGTCAGTTTATGACATTTCATCTCTGCTAGATATTCCACGGTCAACTGTAAATGGTGTTTTTGCAAAGTGAAAGTGTTCAGGAACAACAGAAACTCAGCCACAAAGGGCAGAACACATATAGTAACAGAGCGGGTCTCCGAGTGCTGAGGCGCATAGTGCGTGAAAGTTGCCAACATTCTATTGACCCAATAACTGCGGAGTTCCAAACTTCCTCTGGCATTATCCCCAGCATAAAAACTGTGCACTGGGAGCTTCATGGAATGGGCTTCCATGGCTGAGCAGTTGCATGCAAGCCTCACATAACTATAAGCACAATGCCAAGTGTTGGATGGAGTGATGTCAAGCCACTGGAATCTGGAATAGTGGAAACGTGTACTGTGGAATGAGTGTCGAGTCACGCTTCTCTGTCTGGCAGTCTGATGGACAAGCCTTTGGCAGATGCCAGGAGAACGTTACCTGCCTGACTGCTTTGTGCCAACTGTAAAGTTTGGTGGAGGGGGGATAATGGTATGGGGTTGTTATTCAGGGGTTGGGCTGGGTCCCTTAATTCCATTGAAGCGAACTCTTAATGCTTCAGGGCCTTTTCTTTTCCAGCATTTGTGCACCAGTGCACAATTCAAGGTCCATAAAGACATGATTGGGTGAGTTTGGTGTTTAAGAATTTGACCGTGCCCAGACCTCAACCCCATCGAACACCTTTGTTGTGATGAACTAGAATGGCGATTGCAAGCCAGGCCTTCATATCTAACATCAGAATCTGACTTCACAAATGCTCTTCTGGATGAATGGGCAAAAAATCCCACAGACACACTCCAATATACTGTGGAAAGCCTTCCCAGAAGAGTGACAGCCATTACAGCTGCAAAGGGGGGACCAGCTCCATACTGATGCCTATGGATTTAGAATGGAATGTCATAGAAGTTCCTGTAGGTGTAATGGCCAGGTGTCCCAATACTTTTGTCCATGTACTGTATATTTTAACATGTATGTTACTGTAGAGTCTTTATATTTTTTGCTTATTTTAGGTGAAATAACCCTATGAGCAAGTGATGATGATTCGATGTGTATTAATCTGCCTATTCTACTCTTTTCAGTATGGCTTTAATATGGTCATGTCCCACTCACGCGCTGTCAATGAAATCGCACTTAGTCTAAACAACAAGAACTCTAGGTAAGTGTCTCTGCTTGGTGGAGTATGCACATCCACCTTGGCTGGTAGCTCAGCCGGGTACTCTTTACAGGGAGGTCTTTGCTGATTCAACAGGGATGAGCTGGTTTCCTCAATATTTTAAAATGTGTCCTGGGGAGTTATTAAGCACTCTCCCCCCATGGGTCACACAGAGAAAATCAAAGTATGAGAACTCAAAGCGACGAGGTTTTGCATATGGAGCATAATCTTGAATATTTTTACTAAATATTGTCGTATTACACCCAGAATGAATAATGTCAAGACGTGTTATGACAGTTCATTGACTGTGAGATTGTTATCCATCATTACTGGACTGGAGTAGATGTCATATGAAGCGGTCTCAATTTGCAGTGTCCCCTTCATGCGTACTTATGGACATTTTTAATGATACTTGCAAATGTTTTAATTATGTTTAATTATTTTGTCATGCTTCCTTTTTCATTTTTGCTTTACAAGTGCTTTCTGCCACTTGCCAGGCTGTCACTGTAAATAAGAAACTGTTCTTAATGATTTTCCTGGTAAAATAATGGTTAAAAAGTGACGGCGCCCTGTTTTTCACAGCTAACCCTTATTGTGGCTTGCACAGTAACAGTAGGAGAATGGCTTGGGTGGAGGAATCGTTGCTTTTTACCAAAACCTCAGTGTTGAGCCACTGAAGCTGCTGTCTTCATTCCAGAACAAAGGCCCTGGTGCTGGAACTACTGGCCGCCGTGTGCCTGGTCAGAGGGGGCCACGAGATTATCCTGTCCGCCTTTGACCACTTCAAAGAGGTAAGGCACCCAGGCAGTCTCTGCTTCTGGGCCTGTGGCTTTTGGTCGGCACCGACCCCCACAGATTCCTGCCTTCCTTGGCTGCTTGGGGGTCCTCGTGAATGTGGGATTTTCCCAGGCTGAGAAAGCTAAAGAGAAAAAATGTTAATGACACACGTGATTGATTTGACTCTGTGAGTATGCATTTGACCGTACTGAGGGTGGTCCTAATTTGTGCAGCGATAAAGATCCAGACCACTACACGGAGGACTACCGTTCAAGCATGACCATAAACTGAGATGTCAATTACCTCGCAATTCAGGCCCTTGATTCTAGCCAATCAAATCTTAGTGTTAGTGTGCTGCGGCCTGATGTTATTTATTGCATTGAGAAATAGATGTAAACTTTTTACGCAAAAACATAATCAATGACCCTCTTCTATCTTAAGCCATTTTCACACATGAACTCCAGGCATTGTCTGGAGAGTCAGGTCCGGAATTTTCCAGAATTGCCCTTCTACACATGAGAATATCCGTGTCAGATGTGTTCACACCTACTAGAAGTACTCTGACGGGTATAGGTGTGAGGGGTGGTGCTTGGGTAGAGCATGCAGGAGGCAGGACATGATGCAAAAAGTACTGACAGATTCCGTCAGCGAGACCTCAGCTTCTTTCAGAGTCGAATGATGAGGCAGGTTCCTTAAGCTTAAGCAGTTTAGTAGGACAGAATGAAGATGTTACGGAAAGATGTTTACACACGGCCAGTTAGAAATGAGTCTATCTGCACACGGTCTATCTGTGTCTGTCTGCCCCCCCAGAGGGAAGCAGGCCCTTTACCCATGGTCTCCGTATAGAATCCTGAGGCCAGAAGGTCAGACAGCCTTAGTGACAGTGAGTAGCATGAGAGGAAAAAAACATGATGTGAGGAAGCAAGTAGCAAGGACAGAAAGGAATAAAAAAGGAAGAAATAGAAAGGCTATAAAAGAGAAAACTAAATAAAAATTACTTCAATAGCTACAAATTAACTTCAGCTACAAATCCCTCAGTACACTACGGAAATCACATTGTTTTGTTAACAGCAATACTGGCAGAAGTTTCTTAATCTAGTTGTCTCTCCAGCCAGCCGTGTTTGTTGTGGTCTTCTTAGCATCATGACCCTTCTTCTTTGCCTTTGAATGTTTATTTTCTTCCATTTTCGCGTTATTCTCTTGACAGAAACATCATCAACGCACCCACTCACTCGCGGCGAATTATCCAGAATCCTCCCTGCTCCATTCACACATGGCGGTCAATCGGAAATTACCTCGACCTCGTAATAGGGAGCTAGCGGTCCGCTTAATGTCCGGTATCGACTGATTTGGACATTTGTGTTCACACATACAGCCCCCCCCCCCCCCCAGGTAATGTCTAGAAAAGTTCAGGGTGGCAGTGTGTCTGAAGGGGGCTGGAAAATATGACGGAGAGCTTAGTGGATTTTACAAAGATTGTGCTGCAAGGAAAGTGAGGGCAGGGTTAGTGAGGATAATAACTACACTACCCACACCACAGGAGTGAAAAGAGCAGGATCAACAGAGGCATATTTCTCAAGAATAATTGCTAAGAACATGGGACATTTTGTGTCCTGCCTACATGAAACACAAAATGGCCACCCTGGGTAAGGACTGCGAGGAAAAAAATCTCCTGTTTGTTTTCTGTCTCCTTGCAGTGCGTGGGAGTTTGGCTGTTGCCGGCTCTCTCCCATTCCTTTTTCTGTCATCTTCCCATTCCACAAACTCCTATAATTAGGAATAAATTGCTTTCTAAACAGCGCGTCGACTCCATTTAGGGGTGTTACGAGGGCAGATTGTAATCAGAGGGTTTGCCGCCGTTCCATAGCAACCAGACCGTGTGCTGGGAGCGCCTGGCCACGGCTGTGGTGAGGCGCTTTTGTCGCCTGTGGCCTTGCTGTTGTCACAGGGGCCTTGGGGGGGGCATCCTGACACGTGTGGCCCCGCCCCCAGGTGTGCCGGGAGAAACAGCGCTTCGAGAAGCTCATGGACTATTTCCGCAGCGAGGATGGAAACATCGATTTCATGGTGAGCGGAAGTCGGAGCATGGTCCGTTGAAATGCGCCGTGTTACACGTAGGGGGTGGGGGGGTGACGTGTCCGTATCTAGGACTTCAGGTGAAACCACTATGGCCAATCACAGCCCTACAGGTGCTCAGGGACCAGGTGCAGATTAAACAGGAAAATCTCCCCCATACCTTCCCACAAAGTGTTTAAATGTGTTTCCATATACAGCAGTGTCTTAACTGGGTCATAACCAAACCAATGTAGTCACAGTCATTACCTGTATGGATTGATTCCCAGCAGAGATGAGGTTTAAATGAAATCCTCAGACAGCAGGGAAATGCCCGTGCATGAAAACCACGTAATGAAGGTGACCGCTTAGTTATTATGAATTACAGTATCGCAGGTTCATAAATAACTGAGACAAACGTGTCACGCAGGTGGCCTGCATGCAGTTCATCAACATTGTGGTACACTCAGTGGAGGACATGAACTTCCGGGTACACCTGCAGTATGAGTTCACCAAGCTGGGCCTGGACGGATTTCTCGAGGTGGGTGGCTTCTTACCTGAGCTTGGGTTCAGTGACTAGCTAGCGGGGAGCTAACAAAAGTATCGCTAGTCTTGTGGCCTCAGATCAGATTCAGCAGGAAAGGTGCATTCGCACAATGTGCAGACCATCACCTCCCTCATGCCCTGTGTTGGGTTGTATAAATTACATGGTGAAACTTTACTTGAGGGGGCGCAAATAATGCAGTAGTACATTCTGACTTAATGTATTAATTAAGCAGAAACTAAGTGTGAATTACATACTTATCCCATGTTCATTTATCATTAATCGATCATAATGGTTAATGTATTTCATGCATACTGTATTTGTTCATGATTTGTACTTGAGTAGTAACTGAGTACTAAGTGAAGTATCCATTCTTCTATATCAACATTACAGAACTCACTGATTTTGTTGTTGTTTCTGAGATGAGACCGCCAGTGAGCTAAATTCAGGCTTCCTCATCATACTTTATAGCATCTGGAGTCAAAAACTCACTCAATCCTTATGTAATCCAACAAAGAACTTTTGTTCAATGTCCAAAACTCACTAAGTCCCTTGAAATTTTCCCCAAAATGTATCTCATGGACTGAGTGAGTTTTGGAAATGTGGTTTTTTCCATTATTATGTCATCAGATTTCATCATTCTTTTATCTGCATGCTGCATTGTTTTTTTAGGATACATTAAATAACTAATTTCCAACTGCCAAAGGAAAATTACTCGAAATCAGCTGAAAGAACCATTTGAGGTGCATGATGCTATCTCCTGGGTTGTGGGAAGTTCTTGTTGTGCTTTGCGCTTGCATGGTGCTCCAGGAGCTGTGCACTGCTCAGCCACTCAGCATGTTCAGCTTATCTCGGGCTCCCGTCTCACTCAGTGGAAAATCCTTGTTTCATCTGGTCACTGGGTTCTTCTCCTCCCTGCAGAAATGCAGGAACACAGAGAGCGACAAGCTCTCCGTGCAGATTCAGGCTTACCTGGAGAACATGTTTGATGTGGGAGGCTTACTGGAGGATGCCGAGACCAAGAACGTGGCTCTTGAGAAAGTGGTGGACCTGCAGGAGCACCTCTCCCATGTAAGATCTCCCTCAGCATCACTCTTAATACTGCTGTCTTATCTGACTGATCGCTTCCCCTCACCTGAGTTGTGTGGTGACTCAGTGTTGAAAAGGTGAAGGAACAAGTATGTAACAATGGACAGGAAAGGTATTCCTCTTTCAAACTAATGTGACCCAACTTTGGAAGCTTCCGGCAAGGAAGGTCCATTAGGAAAACCCAGATGTGGAGTTCTGAACCGTAAACTGCTATCTACTGCCCCCATGTGGCCACTCCTGATTCCACTTTTACTTAATATCCATCCATCCATTTTCTATAACATTTCATCCAGTAGTGTCACATGAGCTTGGAACTTATGCCAGAAAGCACAGGACTCTAGGGGACAGGGGACAGCTTGAATGGGATGTCAGTCCAACATAATGCAAACAATATCAAAGTATTACACTGTGGGGCTCATTCTGGGGGTGGCACAGTGGCTCAGTCAGCATCCTGGTTACTTCACACTTCCAGGGTTAGGGGTTTGAATCCCACCTCTGCTGTTTATGTTTGCATGTCCATCCCCTGTCACATTGGTCTCCTGTAGGTGCTACAGTACAATGTAGCTAATTGGTATCTCTACATCGCCCCTACAATATGATTGTGTGTGAGTGTATGTACCCAGCAATGCTCTTATTTCCCACCCTGTGGTCCTCATCCCTGCACTGCCTGGGATAGACTCCTGCAGGCACGGAATGGGGCTAAATTTCATCCTGGGAGATTTATGTACAAGACAACACTCTAGGGGAGCTTGATAAATGATGCCATAGTTGAAAGTAATACCCTGATCATTTTTTTACTGACATTTCAAGAAGGAAATAATAAGTAGCATATTGAACTGTTCAAGCAGTCTGACTTTTTCAGCTCCTACTGGTCTCTTCCTAACATCCATCGTTTGAGAAACTTCCGGTGAGTATCAATAGCAAACGATTAGCTGTGGCACCTCCGCCACAGCACACTGTGCTCACTCAGCTCTAAATGACAAAGGATCACACCGATCGGACAAAAGGTCGTGGTGATCGGACGAAAGATCGTGCTGCATGTTTGCGGAATTCCCTATGCAGAGCAATCGTGATCTTTTCTGCGTGAGAAAACTCGTTGGTTAATATTCCGAAACGTACTATTTCAAAGTTGTAAAATTATTTTGTTTCTGACCGGCTCATTTTTAAACCAGTCAAATTATGTTTCTGCAATAAATTTTGTTTCTGAGTGGCAAAACAGCTAAGCAGGAATTCTACCAAGTCTCTTGGGTGGAACTCTTTAGAGCAACGGTCTGCGACATTTTTAGTAGTGAGAGCTACTTTTACAAAGAAAATTTGACCTCTGAGTTGCAACATTATATTTTGGGGGCAGGGGGGGTTACCCCTCAGTAGATTTTGCTGACCCTGGGGGGGAAGGGGAGGTTCCCACTGATATATTTTGTTGCCCAGATAATACTCTGAGTGAAGGTAATACTGATTATCGATTGACTGGAAATGATTTAAAGATCTACCTGTCAATGATGATCGCCCGTTTGGTGACCCCTGTTTTAGAGCCTTTTACAAATTAATCGCAACAATGAATAATAAGCCCCAATTCCAACACTCATTTACTTTATGGAATACAGGCACGAGGAAACAGGTCACCATCATTGGCCCCTGTGGCTTATTTCTCATCCTTCAGTCTGTCTCCTTGTGTCATTTTGTTGACAGAAACAACGCGTGTCGTTCTCTGTCTTTGCCCATTTCTTTTTGCTCGGTTTGTCCCGTGTCCCCTGCGGGAAAGGTCACCCAACGCCATCATTCTCAGAGCTGTGGAATTACGAGGGAGGTGAGGCAAAACACTGCCCTCCTCGACTGGCTGACATTTGCAGCCGCTTGGATTCCAGTCCAGAAAGCACAGTTCCAGCTTGCTCTGCTGTGTCATCCTGCTAGGCATCTCTCATTTCTTATTGATGCGGCTGATAGAGGGAGGGGGGAGAGGGAGAGCGAGAATCGGAGGGTGTGGATCTGAGAGATCTGCTGGCATTTCTGCTCTTCACATCGATTCCTACTTTTTCATACCTACCTCTGCGTCCGAGCCCCACGCTCTACCCCAGTGAATATTCCCTATTTCTCCTCCTTCTTCATCTCCCTGGCAGGTGACAGAGAAGCTGCAAGAGGTGGAGAATGAGACCATCATGAAAGTGGCAGACCTGGAGAAGCAGCTCCTCCAAAAAGACAAAGATCTGTCTTCCATCAAGGTAAGATCTCAGGATGTTATTGTGCTCTGTCAATCACTGATTTATTCTCATTTGTTATCTGGGCCATGCTGGTGTTACAGGGACCTTGGGTGGGTGGGGGGGGGGGCATCTTAATGTCTCCTGAGTTCTTCTTACATTAACTAGTGACACAATGTTTGGGATTGGCTGTGTGTAGGATCACCGGTATATTCCATTACAACAGTAGTAGAACAGAAAGTGAAACTAAAATTCACTCCCACAACAAACATTATTAGATTAAATGATTACGGTTAACAGTTCTCCTACTCATTCAGTGTAGGTGCCCTTGCACAGAATCAAATAGGTTACAATATAATATGATAATGCATAATGAATATATAACGCAAATATTATAACGATACTGAGTGTTCTTAGACTGGGAATACTTAAGACTTTATACACGTTGATTGCCCTCTTCTGCTTTGAATGTGTCCTGTGGCCTAAAAGGAGACGTATGAGGTGGCGAGTTGCCAGGTCAACACACTGAGACGCATGATTGAGGAGAGAGACGTCGCCTTCCAGCAGCAGGCCAATGTGGAGAAGAGCCTAGAGGAACGTGAGCAGCGCAGGACGCTCCACCTTCGCCCACAGCCAGAAGGAGATGCCCCCAGATGTGCCCTAGTAGGAGGGAGTGAAGACCTCAATGGGGGTGTGGAGCCCAGGGCTCCAGGGAGCAACTGCCCCACCACTGTGGAACCACAGCCTCAAGCTCCACCCCCACCACCACCTCCCCCACCACCTCCACCCTTACCTTCCACCTCAGGTATTGTTCTTCACCTTCCTGACACATAGGGGGCGCTGATGAGCATGCTCACTTGGACAGGTACAGTCTTCTTCTTATTCTGCATCAATTATAAGCAAATCCCAAGCAGCTGTAACACTAGGGTTATTTTAATAGTTGGGTAATGCTTGGCCAGATAGGAGAGAAATGCCTTGGGAAACATTATCTTAGACACTAAAAAGCCCCAGTAGGTGAGATCTTAAAGCTGATACAATGAAAATGATCATGCAGCTGCGACTCTTCCGCTCTGCTGCCCACAGGGGAAGGTATGATGATTGTGGGTCCTCCACCGCCAGCGCCGCCACTCCCCGGAACATCACCATCCGTCATCCTCAGTGCCGGCCTATCAGGTGAGAGAAGCCAGATATCTGGCTGCGTGTGAGATTTCAGCAAGTCTTCATCGGCATGTGTGAGTGTGATAGCACTTGCTGTTGATGAGCCAAAGAATATTATAAGCACAATGGACAGTCCTATTGCTTTGCAGCCATTAGAATCAAGAAACCCATCAAGACTAAATTCCGACTGCCTGTGTTCAACTGGACGGCCCTCAAGCCCAATCAGATCAAGGGCACTGTGTTTAATGAAATCGACGATGAGCGAGTTCTGGAGGTGAGACAAAGTCTTTCCTATTACAATCCTCCCACCCTTTTCTGTCTCTCATATGTGGGGAAGACCCAACAACACAAGGCATCCCAGTCCCATGTTGTATACATTCTCTGTTCTTAGCCCAATTTCAAATGCAGATTCTTGGTGTTTTCTTTCTCCTAGGAGCTGGACCTGGACAGGTTTGAAGAGCTTTTTAAAACCAAAGCACAAGGCCCTATGATGGACCTTATCTGTCCCAAGGGCAAGGTGTCCCAGAAAGCGGCCAACAAAGTCACCCTTCTAGATGTCAACCGCTCCAAGAACTTAGCGATCACACTGCGCAAAGCGGGTAAAAGCACAGAGGAGATCTGCAAGGCCGTCCAGCTGTGAGTGTCACCCCTATTTTTGCTAGAACCTCCATAGTCACAGACAGTCAGGAATGAAATGGAAGTGCCTGTTCTGTTGGTGTAACATCTTGGTCACTGCTTGATGGTATCCCAGAATGCAACATTTCTTCAAGTGCTTTCTCCACAGCTTGAGCACTCCTTTTCGGGAAAACAGACCACTTTAAAGTTTTGGTGCACTACACGGGATACTGAGTGCTGTGGAAAGTTTCTTCTAACATGACGCCGTGTCTGACACCTTTAGGTTTGACCTGAAGGCCCTGCCGGTAGACTTGGTGGAGTGCTTAATGCGGCTTCTGCCCACGGAGGCAGAAAGCAAGCTGCTCCGGCAGTACGAGCGTGAGAGACGCTCCCTGGATCAGCTGGCCGAGGAGGACCGCTTCATGTTGCACATCGGCAAGATCGAGAGGCTCACACAGAGGATGAACATGATGGCGTTCATGGGCAACTTCGACGACAACTTCAACATGCTAATGCCGGTACTTCAGCCGTCCACCTGCCCAGCCTGTGCTGCCTGCACCTGAATCCTCCCTGCGTGTCTCTGTCTCTCAGAGGAGGGCATGGAGGAGGGCATTAGAGGAGAAGGCGGAGCGCATCGCTTCCTGTATTTATCCTCTCAAATCTCCATCGCATCAGGGTACTGGGACTGTCCCAGCAATATCATGACTCCATAAAATGATTATGGGACTTGCTGCCTGGGACAGTGGAACCCAGTGAGATTAAGGTGGTTTTGTTCAAGCCACACTATGCTGTAATTATATATTAAGAAAGCTTTGGTAACACTTTACTTAAAGCAGTCATCTTAATGTATTATAGATACCTTCATAATGCATTATAACGCATTTATAAAGTATTATAAACATAGCTATATTTATAAAAGGCACAACATTATAGCAATGTGTATTATGCATTATGAATGTTCTGTGAAGCTCTCATCTATAATGCACTATTCATACCTTTATAATGCATTATGATGGTCAGTATAATAATTAAGGATGCTTCGTATTGCAGTATTATGATGGTATTTATAGACTTTAATATGACTTTCTATTACATTATGCGACTTTAAGTGTTACAAAAGCTTTGTCTTAGTCCACAGGAAGAGACAGTTTTTTTCCACATTTAAAGTTATGCTCATATTTATATCTGGTCCATTTTCACATCTCCACTGTGCCCCAGCTCACATAGGCAGTCCCTGGGTCAGGCCGTACTCTGGTACTCAGTACCAAGTCACCCCCAGCACACAGAGCAACCAGTTGATAAACCATAACACCCAATTCCCTATAAGGACTTCTAAATTCTGATTGGTCACAAAACACCAACAAACCAAGCTTAAACGTATAACAAACATCATTTTTCTGCTCTATTGGTTCATCTTGGTAACGAGGTAAAATCCACCCATCTTGCCCAATTTACCGGAATCAGTCTCGACTTCTAGACTCTACTTGAGATATGCGTATAGATATTGATTATATGACATTGAATCACTGTTAACGTTTGGGTGTTCCATTGAATCACCACAAATACATGGTAAACATATGATTAGTGTGATTAATGTAACAATTACTTCTACATTTGCACTACCGCGTAACATATTGTATATTGTCTACTTTTTATAACTATAACTCTTTGTGCACCAGTTGGGGCAGCTTCGAGTCTCTTCATGCAGGTGGTTTCTCCCCCCCTTGCTCCGCTGTCTGTCTCTCCAAAGTCCGGTCTCTCTACAGGGTCTGCGGAACTAACCGCAGGCAGCTATCATGAAACGAGGTCACACAGTATTCAAAACAATCTCTTCTTGCCTAAGGCCTAAGATATAACAGACCCAATATTCCTCCCCTCCCAGACCTACCAATGCCAAATTTTCCTTCCACACCATGAAGCCTATTATATTACAAATTTGTTGAATACAATGGTTCATGATAAGGAATGCACACATTACTTTGTGGTTCGTTAGCTCAAGGTACAGCACAGTATTGCATGTAGCTATTTCTATTATTGAATTATTAATATTATTATTATTATTATGTACTGTATTATTATTCTTAAGATGTTGTAGGGTATTTGGAAGTGTTTCTTAAGTGCTTTATATGCCTCCAAAGGTCAAATATACCATATGGACAGAAGTATTGGGGCATCTAGTCGTTACACCTACAGGAACTTTTATGACATCCCATTCTAACTCCATAGGCATCACTATGGCCCCCCCACTTTACTGGGACGGCTTTCCATAAGATTTTGGAGTGTGTCTGTGGGAATCTTTGTCCATTCACCCAGAAGAGCATTTGTGAGGTCAGATACTGATGTTAGACATGAAGGCCTGGCCTGCAATCGTCATTCTGGCTCATCACACAGGTGTTCGACAGGATTGAGGTCTGGGCTCTGTGTGGGCAGGGTCAAAGTCAAACACCAAACTCAACTAGCCATGTCTTTATGGACCTTGCTTTGTGCACTGGGGCACAGTGATGCTGGAACAGAAAAGGGCCCTCCCCAAACCGTTCCAAAAAACTGGATTCATAGAATTGTCCAAAATGTTTTGCAGTGGTGAAGCACCTGTGACAATTGGTCTGAATGAAACACCTGAATTTAATGACTGATAGGTGTGTCCCAATACTTTTGACCATATAGTATAAATACTATATACTAAGACAAACATTTAACTGATGCTAAATAAGGACCATATGCACCTATTCCAACTTACTTGCAATTAAAGACAGACTTAGGGAATGGATCTTGTTCGTGACTTGAGGACTGCCTGTATATCATAAACTTTTTTCTGTGTCATGGTTGTCGTCTAAGAGAAGCTCTGCTCTTATGTGTTAATGTCTCCCGCATCCAGCAACTCAATGCCATAATCGCATCATCTGCCTCAGTGAAATCGTCCCCTAAGCTGAAGAGAATGTTAGAGGTGAGCCAACTCTGTCAGAAGCTCCATTTGGTATCTGTGATGCTGCTTCTGTTGCCAAACCAAAGATTAGCATGTTGTCCTCAGCTATGTCGCTCTCCAGCACGAGACTTGGATCTTTTGAGTACTCAGCAGATTATTAGTAATTAGCCTTTGGAATCCCTGACTGATTTCTTACTTTATTGATTCCTTTGGCATTGAACCAGGTCATAATTAATAGCGCATGTTAAGAGCCCAATTTCTTCAATTGCTATGTAGACAGTAGCTCTCTCCCATTCTGAAAAATGTATCCAAGCAGTGAACTGTCTTTTTCCTACAGATTATTTTAGCCCTGGGGAACTACATGAACAGCGGTAAAAGAGGGTCGGTGTATGGGTTCAAACTGCAGAGCCTGGATTTGGTGAGTTATGAAGAAGAATGTAAATGTGATATGTTATTTCTAGCTGAGCTTTGTATATACAGACGCCCCTCTACTTACGAACATTCTTACGAACTTACGAAGTTTCAGACATACGACCGAAGAGGACTGCAAGTCCAAATTGTCTTCCTTGGGCTCCCGTTTCCTGTCCGCCACATCAATTATTTTTGTTTGCGCGCCAGTTCCACTTAGTGCGACTTCTGGCCGCTACTCCCGCCGCGCAGCAGCATAGCGTGCGTACTCCCAGCATCCTAGATCTTTGTACTTGCGTATACCCTTAAATGATGTTGAATAACGACTTACGAACATTTCGAGTCATGAACGGCTGTTCGGAACTTATCTCATTCGTAATTAGAGGAGCGTCTGTATAGTAATTTTGACACTGAATCCAGACCATCGTTTTTCATGAGCTCACAGCCACAACCTGCCTTCTGCAATAATAGCAGCTTCATGCGTTATCAGTGTCAGACAGATACACAAAACCATTGCACCTATAACAGCACGGCCACCCTGGGGCAAACTGTGCTTAGTGAGTGATTCTGATGCCTTTTCTGCCTTCAGCTGTTGGACACAAAATCCACGGACAGGAAGATGACTCTTCTTCACTACATTGCTCTCATCGTGAAGGAGAAGTACCCTGAACTGGCCGTTTTCCCCAGTGAGCTACACTTTGTGGACAAAGCAGCCAGTGGTAAACTTGTTGTTGCTATATTTTAAATTGAATGTACGTGAGATATTGACTCTGTGTGTGAGTGCATGATCGAATCTGCTATGTATGTGTTCCCCTGGCTTCTCTTTTACTGCCGGGTCCAGTTTCCCTGGAGAATGTGCTGCTGGATGTGCGGGAGCTGGCTAAAGGCATGGAGCTGATCCGTAAGGAGAGCAGCCTTCATGACCACGCAGTGCTCAAGAGCTTCCTGCAGATCAATGAAGGACGGATGGAGAAACTGCAGAAGGATGCCAAGATGGCGGAGGTGCTCCCCCGGCGATGTAATGCGAGCGTCAAGACCTTGACCCTGTGCAAGACCTCAAAGACCAGCTCCTACTAACTATATACATTTTCACTTTTGATGGCACAAACAAAGACCCTTAACTGTATGTCTAACCGAGAGTTGTGGAGATTAAGGAGATAGCTGGTATTAAACATTCAGCAAACACTGTCCAGCAACACAATGCCTTCTTAAAGGCATATTTTGCTCTCCATAATTTCTCCTCATTTTTCACCACCTTGCAGGAGGCGTTTGGCAGCGTGGTTCACTACTTTGGGGAGAACCCAAAGACTACCCCCCCCTCCATTTTCTTCCCTGTGTTTGTACGCTTCATTAAGGCTTACAAGGTAAGATTATTTTGAGGAATCTAAACATCCCTGCCCTTCCCTCTTCGGCCATCCGTGCAGAAGCTGTGTCCAGCTCCCCTGTCCAGTAAAACCTCTGATTTCATATTCGGCTTCTCATTCTCATATTTGAGTTCTTTCGTGCTTTTATTTTGTGGGAAGGTGATGCTTATGTGGCCGACAGGATGTCAGACGCTCATCAACAGTAAAGGCCAGCTGACACTATTCCAATCATCAACAGCCCAGCGTAATTCGCTGCCAGCTCTGTCCTTCCTAAGATTGTTTGAGAGTCAGATTTATGATCACTGCAGTGTGACGGCCCTTGAACCCCCACATGGTTTCATTCAGAACAATTTGTTTTGAAAATGTCATTGCATCCACAGCCAATTTTGGGGAAGTTCTTCACAAAAGTAATTACAGACAGAGGTGGGAAGTTCAGGTCCAGAAAGTACAAATCCAGACCAGGGTTTTGTTTTAACCAACCAGTCGAGTACTCTGTGACTGATGACTGGTGACAGCTGGTTGGTTGAAGCAAAACCCTGATCTGGAATTGTACTTTCTGGACCTGACCTTTCTACCTCTGTCTTTAATGGATTACTCTTGTGAGTAACTTCCCCACAGTGTCCACAGCGAATTGCACGAGTCCCGTTTCTTTCTCCAAGAGCCACCTGAACAAAATGTACTTGTAGAGATCAAAGGGTCAAGTCCCAAGGCAGTGCTCCGCTTTTCTGGGAACAAATCGCCTTCATATGGAGACTGTGGCTTTCACTTTCACAGGATGCAGTAGAAGACAACGAGCAAAGGAAGAAGCAAGAGGAGGCTTTACGAGTGAAGCTTCTTGCTCAGGAGACCCAGGAACAGGACCCAAAAGTAGAGCCCCCTCATACACTTGTAATGGAACAAAAAAGGCACATTCAGTAACTAATGTCAACACATAACTTTTTGCCGAGCACAAATGTGAGATTAAATGAATATACAGTGGTACCTCAGTTCTCGAACTCATTAGAACTCAAATTTCTTAAAAGTCGAACCAACCAGTTTGAAAAAAAAAATTACCTAGAACTTGATCTGAATCTCAGAAGTCAAACCGTGAACGCCGACCTAAGATAACTTATACACGCGGGGAAATGAGTCACGTGGCACGTCTGGAGACAAAGGCGCAGATGTCAGGGTATTGGGGAATACGGGGTTTAATTACAGGTGGCAGGCAAAACGCAGACGGACAATACAATGACTGGACTGGGGAAACAAACTGAAACGCAGACAAAATACAGAGGACTAATGACAACAACCAGAAACAGCTGATCACATGGGGATTCCACACGGGGTTAACGAGGGGGCGTGGCTCACGGAAGGAGCGGACGATCGGGGCAGGACATATTGTTTTTTTTAACTTTACACATTGTTTGGATACATTTATTTTCTTACTTTACAAATTACTGTTTTGATAAATGTGCTTAGATGTGTTTAGTACAGTATATGCTCTTCTTGTTTTATCCGGTTCATTTTGTGTTTAAATGCTAAAAAAAACATATTTAGATGTAATTTTTTGGGCCGGGAACCAATTAATTGGTTTTCCATTATTTCTTATGGAGGAAATTTACTCACAACTCGAACTTTTTAGGATTCGATCCGGAGTTCTGAACGGATTAAATTCGAGTTCTGAGGTACGACTGTACTTAGACAAAAGGATATGCTTCATTTCATCTATAATTTTCCTGCTTATCCTCCTCATGGTAATGGGTGGGGGTGGGGGTGGAGCCTGTGCTTTATTGATCCAACGCAGGAAATTTGAAAGAATACATCCTGGTTTTAATCCCAGCAGTGCCTTGGCCTTAAATAGGGACTTATTCAGATACTAAAAAAGTAATTTCAGTGCTATTATTGATGTTCAATGGTGAGTATATTATGTTTGGGGTGAGGGTTGGGGCGAGGTGTCAGACAAGCTGGTCTTAGCAGTATTTTCCTGTCAACGTGGGGGTAACTGGCTAGGAGGGCTTCAGCTAATCTGTGCTATGTGAGCTTCTTATTAGCAGAAGGAGGAATGAGAGAGAATAAAAATGGTCAGTCACCCGCAGGTGGGTGGGGCGGGGATAAAAACCAGAATGGCATTGTTTTTTATTCTCTATGGAAAATGAAACATTACATGTTGGTTTGAGCTATGGTGAGGGTTTCTTTTGTGATTAAAACTATGGTTAGACATCACTGGATATAACACTACATAGGCCATCGTACATTTTTTTTGTGGTCCGTATTAGGGTTTGGTTTGACGTTAAGGTTAGCACTATGGGTGGCCTTTGTTTTCATTTGAGGGTTTCATTCATAGTTAGCTTCAGGGCTTAGTTTAATTTTTGATTTAGTTGGGTTCGCAGTAGGGGGTGTGATTGTGCTCTGGTGTACTTCTAGTCAAATGACTAAGTATAACTCAGTGTTCGGGCTAGGCTTGGTTGTTGGGTTAAAGCTAAGATTAATGAAACAATTGTTATTGTGACATGATTTTTTATGACCTGTGGTAGGGATAGGCTCTTGAAATGCCATAAAACCTGCCTAGTTTTCCATTTTAGTCTGAAATAGACATTTTTTTGCACTCCTGTTTTTTCGTGTGATCAGCTGACACTCACTTGGGGTCCAACAGGTACAGGCTCAGAAGAAGAGGCAGCAACAGCAGGACCTGATTGTAGAGCTTCGCAGAAGACAGGCCAGGGACCACAGGCCCATGTACGAGGGCAAAGACGGAACCATCGAGGACATCATCACAGGTGCGGCTTTGCACTTGGCATTTCTGTGGGGAACCCACAGCCTCCTCAGTTGCGTTTGGGGGGAAGCCATGAGCATGAACCTTTTCGGACATTGCAAGGTCCACCCAGTCCTCATGAGTCCCATCCAAACTTCATGCGGTGCTCAGTCAAAATATACGACGACAGCCGATCGTTTAATAGGGAATCCCCCAGTTACTCATTCACCCAAATAAATGTCAGGATATGATCCTTCTCGATATTAACACCTCCTTCGCTGCTTTACAACCTTCTTTCCATACTTGCATCCAAGCCTAGGTCCAGACTAATCTTACCCAGTCATTGTTTTGGGTAAAACAGTAAAACAAAGACAAAGCAACTAAGAAATTTTACCTAGTTATACAGCTGGATATGTCACTACAGCCAATTGTATTGAGGACCTTTGCAATTTGGTTACTCCCCTTGAAGCAGCAACCCTCCATTATGAGTTTCTGTCTTTAAATGTTATTTTACCTGCTAGGCTGTTGATCCAGGTTCATGCTGGAGTTCTTCATCAGGGTATAATTCTAGGTAAAGCTGTCTCATGACAGAAGGAGGTGAACCAGGACGGAAACGGTGCCCGGCGAAGAGGAAGGCTTTGGGCTTGACCTGTCCTCTCTCTCTCTCTGTGACACCTCCACCCCACCAGTGTTGAAGAGCGCCCCCTTTACAGCCCGAACTGCCAAGCGGGGCTTGCGTTTCTTCTGTGACGACAGCGCCTGATAGTCCCGCCCCCCTCCCCCCCAGGCCCACGGCAGCCTACCCAATCCCGGTCAAGGTTCTTTGAGAAACCCTGATTCTCCTGCGCACATGCCTGCACCCACCTGCATGCCCTGCATGTCCTGCACTGGGCCTGGAGCACTAACACGTTTGATGTCCATACTTTATAGAGGGGGCTTCCATTTCCTCCAGTCCATATCAGTATATCGGGGTGCTCTTTATGGGGAGTGCTGATGTCTTGATGCTTACATGTTTCATTTATTTGCAGTCATGGTTGTTTTAAGATCCCCAACCGTATATGGGCTCTGACCAATGCAGTTAGATGTCTTCCACCACAAATGTGTTTTCAGGAATTTTAGTGAAAGATGTTTGCCTTTCGCCTGCCCCCCTCTGCCACTGAGGGTGCCAACTTTCAATCTCTAACACCCCCCCCCCCCCATCATGGTGGTTTGACCGCTCCAGCTGGACTGAAGACTGTGCTCAGTAAGGCTGTTCAGCACTAAGGATGGCTGTGTACTGAAGACCTTCAGCCTGGTTCTCTGCTCCCACAAATACCCCTTGCAAATGCAAGCAGACATCCCAGAAATCATATTACAGCACATTACAGCTTCTCCTGTCATTGTTTGAGATTGTTTGACAGGAGGAAGTTAATGGATCAAGTGTTTCAGTTTATTGAAAAACACTGTCATAGCGCCATATTCAGGCACTTAAGTCGGCCCTCCCACCTAACCAATGGCAGCTAAAGCAGAACGTTTGGTCCTGAATAAAAATGAGAGCTGTGAAAAATTTTGTTTCTTAGTCCTCGTCACACCCCCCTGTGTCACATGAGCCTACACCCATCAATCCACTGTCAATCACATTCTTCTAACCCGTGTGACACGTCTGTGACTGTCACTGACATGTAACTTGTGGAGCTGCACTGTGATCGACAAATCATACGGAGGCTTTGGCAGCTGGAAACGAAAGCCTTCCACTATGTCAGCCACACGTCTCTGTCTGCTGGACCCACATGGTCCTGCAGTGTCGTATCCAAATGGCTACTCCGCAGAGGCTTGCTGTCTCTGCTTCTGCTTCGGCTTCCGCTTCTATCAGACTTGCTGTTGCCCTCCCTATAACTTGTTGATTAACAGTGTGACCATATTTGGTCGTATTTGGACTTCAGTTTTCTGGGCTCGGGTTTATCTTTCCAATCGTTTGTTTCTACATTTCCAGTTAGGGTACAAGTCCCCCCCCCCTTATGGGCAGCCCTGTTAAAGACAAGATAAGCTAAATAATAATCAGCAGTCTGATAATGATGAAATCTTAACAGTTTTTTTTAAGTGCACTGCACTGACAGGACCTGCCTTGCTGTGCACCACTGGACCACTGGAGCATGTGTTCTACCCTTGGACTCTTTTGACTCTGCCTCTCTCTCCCCCCTCCCTGACAGATCTCAGGAGCCAGCCCTTCCGGCGGGCTGACGCCGTCATCAGGAGTGGCTGGAAACGTCCTTAAAACCCCCTGCATTAAGCTCAAGGCTCCACCCCAAAGGCCCCCCATCCTCCTGCCGGAACCGTGTCTGTCAGTCCAGTTTCCGGACACTCTGGCCCGCATGCAGAGTGAAGCCGATGGGACTGAGACTGGACCACAAACGGCACACAGACCTCGATGGACTATTTTTTGTATTAACATGTGACTCTATGATGTTTTCCGTGTATTGTGCAATGAAAAGCAAGATTAACCCTGAAATGGCTGCACGGGCATGCTGCGCTGCTGTGATGCGGCTTGTGCGGAGGACACGCACTGCTCTCCTAATGCTATGTTCCTGCAGACTGTGCTGCACGACTGCAGAGATTCTCCTCTTTCACCGACGTGCCACCTTTTCGCATTTCCCGTAAAGCAAGCACCTTGAAAAGTACTGCCAAAGTTTTGTTTCCATCTGGAATCTTTTGAAGCAGTTTGAATATTTTTGTACTCCTTTTGTTTAACAAGTCCTAAAATATTTAATACTGTAAAAATAGAATGGTGAGTATACTCTGGCTTTAAAAATCGCAAAATGGTTATTTAAGGAGGTAAGCAAAACTGTTATTGTCGAAGACCTTCGGAATGGGGTCGAGGTCACATGGTTCTACATGAGGAACATTCCATCAGCTCGGTCTGGGCATTCCTCTGCTATAACAAGGGATACACTGAACTGGACTGCAAAGCATGGTAACAAAACGTCTGTCACACTTTACTGGAGTGGAAACAGATAATAGCACATGCCTACTTAATGCATTAACTAACCAGTAACTAAGTGTTAGTTATGTACTGATCCCATGCTTGTTCATCATTAATCAATCATGAGAGTTCATTTATTCCATTCAGGAACTATAGTAACAGTTAACTCCACTCAGTTAATGATTAATGCATCAAGTGAGCGTGTATTGCTAAATTATTTGTGTCCCCTCAAGTAAAGTGTTACCAAAATGTCTTCGTATGTGTAGAAGTGGACCAGGACAGGCCACTGGACGTTTGGTCATGTTGTCAAGTTGTTTTTTTCCACAGCTGTCTTGCTTTTAGCTGGATTCTGGGAGGACTTTATGCTGACACACTTGCTCTAACGCTTTGCTAGGAAGTGCGTTTTAAACATGGGGCCTTGGAGCCAGAGGCAACCTGTTCACTAATGACACAGTGCTCCTGTGCTTCACAGCAGGGAAGGGAGCCACTGCTTCACTGCATCTGATCATAAACACTGCATTCAGGGAGGAATCGCAGCTTTTGCATTTAAAGGGAAAAGGATGCATTTTACCGGTGTGAAGTTCTTATACTATGGACTGCCTCAAAGACACTTTCTAATTTTCTCCCCAATAAAAACTTAAGGCTTTTATACATGACCATGTTTGCCCTCCAAGACTGTCTTCCCGGGTGTTTTTTTCTGTCCAAGCACACAGCAGTCTGCTGTATGGTCCAAAGGTGTGCAGTTTCGGTGCATCTCTAAACAGTCCTTAGGTGTGAGTGACTGTCACATTTGGGGACCAAAATGTCCCCAAAGTGTGTAAATACCTGAAACTTCCTTACTCTTGGGGACGTTTTTCAGGTCCGCGTTTGGAAAACCTCAGTTTTATAAATATCTGTGAGTGCAATAAAAAAAAAGTAAAAATGCCAAAAGTCTTGTATTTTGTCTTGTTACTTATGGTTAAGGTTAGGGCTGGGTAGGGGTTAAGGGTATCGTGACTGGGATCGGGGTATTTCCCGTGTGTGTGTGTGCAGCTTGGGTTACCGTCCAGAATAGCTCCTGCCATAAGCCTGTCCCGTTTTGAATAAGATCCAGGCTTCTGGAAAGCCATTAGGGGACATGGCTGGAAATTAGTTTTTCGGAGACATTTAACTAAATACAGGTGCGTGTGTCTGTGTGTGCGTGTGTTGGGGGGGATTGTTGATAACCACAAACCATAGATATGATACATTTTCAATCATGAAAGAACAGCAGATTGACCATATTGTGACTGTATGATTTGACAGTGTTTGATTTTATTAATGCTACGCATAAACATACTATAACCTATGGACCTTTATTCCTTAATGTCCTTAGGATTTTGTTATATCCAGTCAGTCTAGGGGTGGGTGGGGGTTGACTTGAAAAATATGAGTAGGATGACTAAGCAGGTAAAAACTACCCAAACTGCAGAAAGCAACGTGTCTCCCTGACTGTCATGGACTGCAATTAAACAATGTTGCAGTCATTTAGCCTGGGTACATCAGCGAAAGAAATTGAATAGACCACTTATTCCTGTACATTTTTAAAAAGTTTATTTATAACAATATTTGTTATTTAGTTTGTAAAGTATTCCAGCAAAAAAAAAAATTAAACATTATTCTTTCCAGAAAGGCTGAGCCACCATGCATTTTCTACTATAAAAGCTATTTGTCATTTTTTTATTAAAAAATAAAATGGAAAAAAAAAATCAAAACAAATCCAAAGTGTATGATTTTGAAAAAGTTTAAGTAAAATGATTGTACTCTTCTCTCAATCAAAAAACAAAAACAAAAAAACACTGAGCTGAAATGAAAGTCAGAATCCACTGCGTGAAGCTGATGTGCTGTGGGCTATGCGAAAGGACGTCTTACGCTAATTATTTTCTTTTTTTTTTCCATTGAACATGCATTAAAATATGGCTGCTCACTTCCAAAAGAAGCAGCATCTGAACAGCACGAGAAAGTGTCTGAGCTTTGAGGAGTAATCGGTGGATAGACGGCAGCGTTAGGAGCAGGCAAAAGGAGGGAACGAGAGGGCAAGGGACGAGGGCTCTGTCCGGGAAACGGATGGGGCAATAAACACGCACATGGACATGGGCACCAGCGCACAAACGGAGAAGCACAAGGTGTTTAAGAAAAGAAAAAGAAAAAAATCAACCCTAAACAGGAATGTGAGACTCACCCAGCCCAAAGCGGACAGGTTAGTGAATAAAGGCGGAAGCTCCACTCAAGATCAGCACACCGGTATCCTGAAGACAGCTTCTTGCTAAAATCCAACCTCCCCTCCCCCCTCCTCCCCCCTACCAAGGTGCCACCCATGCACACAATGGTCACCGTGCAGGTGAGCGACCCTTCCGATTGGCTGCGGCCAGCGAGCCGGGGGTGGAGCCTTTCTGTCGGTGGGCCACACCCTTCTGAAAGCGTCACGGCGCTGGAATGTGCTAAGCGCCCCTCACGTGGCCTCTCACAGACACAGCCAGTTCTACACCCTGGAATGCTTAAAAAATAAAAAAACAACACACACACACACACAAACATACATTTTGCTATATTAAGGTATGTGTTTTGTGTTCCTGTGGATACTTTCAAAACTCTGTCAATAAAGTTATATATATTTATATATCATTTTAGTCTGTGCAAGGATGAAAACACAATCATTCTCTGAGAAAACAACAGAAATACTGAAGGTGGGCTTCTGCCGACATGTGCCATCGCCTTCCAGACACTTCCATGCTTGCCCTCTGCACACGTTCGCCAGTACCGCATGTGCGAGGCCCCACGGGGGCCCTCACCGGGGCCCGGGCCTCACCTTTGACCTCTCCCACGTCAAACAACACTCCACTCGAATGGAACGATTTTTTTTCTATACAATTCATACAAAAATAAAAAATTAAATTGTTCCACTGTTCCTTTTTTGTCGTTCTTTTTTCCCCCCCATTTCATTTTGCACAGAGGTAGTGGCTACTTGGGTAAAGGGGAGGGGGGGGGAGGACAAAAAAAAAAAAAAAAACAGGTGACAAGCAGCACATTACAGGCTCAATGGTGGAAAGAGTCAGGCACACATGTAGAACAGGACATTTAAAAAAAAAAAAAAAAAAAAAAAAAAAACAAATCTTATAGAAAATTGTTTTCTTTTAGAGCAGAAGAATTGTAAAAGAACAAAATATAATACTGCAGTCACATACAAAAGTAGTCCTTCATTTTGTACATTTTATACAGTGTTCAGGCATTTCTGCTGTGTTTTTTTTCTGCTCTCAAAAGGCAAAACTGGGGTGGGGGGGATGTTGTTGAGTGGTGGCGCTATGCTAATGCTGGGGTGGGGGCGGGGGAGCGGGGGGGGGGGGTGATCAGTCTATGCCAGCGGGTCTCCCATGTCCTCCTCCCCTCGAGACAGAAGCTCCTTCTTCTCGTCTGTGCTGGCCAGCGAGTTGCGGCTGTTGTGAGCGCCCATGTAGAGGGTGGCATACACGGGGTTGGTGAAGTTGGTGGGCTACAGTGGGGGGGGGGGGGGGGCACAGAGCAAAATGATGGCCATTACTTTCATGCACATGTGCAAAACACAAGCATTGTTGGGGAAGTTACTCACAAAGGTAAATCATTAGACACAGGTGGAAAGTTAACTGTGTAACTGTAACTAACTGTGAGTCTTTATGCTGGAAACCAAGCCTTGCTTTTTACAAGTCAGCATTTTGCGTCTTTGCTTATGTCATAAGGTGCAGCTCCAGCAAAGAGTTAATTTTTTACATCATAAAAGAAAAACTGAATTTACTGTAGTCTAAAGTTCAGAAATCAATGCCACCCCATCATCCCCAACAAAAGAAATATAGTCTTTGGAAGCTACGTTAGTAAAAGTTTTTTCATGATCCTAACCAATTTTATTGCTATATGACACTATACAGCACAACAAGGCGACCCAAACAGATCTGCCCATTTCTGATTTCAGGGATTGGTGTCTCTGTCTATTGTGGGAGGGGGGGGGTTTAAGCCCTGAGGGGAAGTACCTTGTCTGGGTCCAGGGTGAAGTCGGCGTCCAGGAGCTCTCCGGCGTCATCGTCAGGCTCCCCTTCGTAGGTCTTGTATGCCGGGTTCCCGATCTCCACATTGAGGGCACCGTTGGTCATCCTCTGGTGCTGGAAGCCCTTGGCCCTGTGACGCAGAAGATGCACCGTGAGCGCCGGCACTCCAGGGGGCGACAAAGAGGACAGTTGCACAGCACGGCTACACAGCCACAGTGACGGTACCGAGGGAAGCCAGGACTGAAGCCAGGACTGAAGCCAGGCACAGGCATCCAGGGTGAACCCAGCAGAGCCCAACACACGGCCCCCTCCACGTGTACCCACATGGCATCTCCATGCCCAGCACAGCCACATGGGGCTGGAGGCGGGGGGGCTGTGGACGCCTATAACCTCGGGTCACGTGTCCTACAGGTCACATGACAATGGGCGACTGAGGGGCGGAGCTCCTTTAGGGAGCCTGGGCTGCTGGACATCAGCCTTGGGGGGGTGGGGGGGCTGGAGACTTGGGCAGTGCAGCTCCATCAGTGCCTCTCACTGGCAGGAGGATGGGAGGGGGCTGAACAAACATCTCACACCACCCAACGTGCGGCCAACTCTCCTTCATCAAGGCCTGTTCTCCTGGAGGGGCACCCAAAAGGGCAATAACCCCCCCCGAACAGGAGCGTGGGGCAAAAGGGAGGGGGGGGGGGCATGGGGGGCAAGCGGAATGCTACTTAACACACTCTGGGAGACCAGCAAACATAGACCACCGAACAGACCGAGGTACACTGAGCAAAAGTCAACACGAACAGGATGTGGATTCATATGGGGAGGGGTGGCGGGCAGGGGCAGGGACATGGACATGGAGGGAAGATGGGGAATGTAACCCTGACAACTGTTACCGCGAGCGTCTGGAGCAGGATTTGCCTGGCCTTACAGACCTGGGGGACAGGAGAAATGCAGTTACCCAGAGCAGAGAGAGGACAGAGCTTTGGCATGACCAGAGAGAGGCGATTATGGGAAGAGGGGCAGGTAAATAAAGGCTAAAAAAAGAACAGACCAGGAGGAACAGATTCTTCTAGAGTGACCACAGAGGGAGGAATGGATGAGCAATTCCAACAGAAGGTCCGGCTGCAAACTCACCCACTCATTCTCTTCCGGTACCACAAGATGCCGCCAACAACCAGCAGGGCAACGAGCAACAGCAGAAGCACTGGGATGACAATCGACGCAGTTCCTGCAGGCAGAGAGACGGACAGACCCTGAGGACCCAGCTCCCCAGTCCCACCATCAGCTGCCGGGTGTGACAGTGGCAACCGGTCGGAGAGACGAGGAGGGGGGCTTTCACTTACGGCTGCTGGGGTCAGGGGAGTTTATGATGGAGGTATTTACTGAGCAGCGCTGCCCGGTCCAACCTGAGAAACATCTGTGGGAAGAGGGAGGGAGGGAAGAATGGAGAAGGAAGGGAGGTTGGAGGGGTGTGAGGACAAGAGGAAGAGTGAGTTCATAGAGATGCCTTACAGAATGTGTGTGTACATGCGTGTGCGTGTACATGTGTGTCCGTGTACATGCGTGTGACCGATGTCCGCTGCATCCCACCTGCACTCGGGCAGCTGTGTCTGGGGGTTCACTGAACACTGCCCGTTCACACAGTACTCGCTGCACGTATAGCAACTTGGCTGAATCTTTCCGTTGGGGCACCTGGTCAAAGACCAAATATCAGATGAGCCACAAACACTGTACCACCTGCTGTCCTCCACATTCAGGACTGCATTATTTTTCTGCGGTCCTTAGATCTTGGCGCCCCCTGCTGGATGGGAGGGGAACGTGCACAGGATAACGCACCTGCAGGTGACTTCTCCTGTAGGTTTGTGGCTGTTGGTGGGGATACACTTGCCGTCCTTGCAGTAATGGCACCTGTCTACCTCGCAGTTCACGCCGTTGTACTGTGGCGGGCAGCGACACTGAATGCTGCCGCTGGAGACCTGTAGACACGTGCCTCCATTTTCACAGTGGCCGTCACATTTACCTGGGAAGGGACAGACATCACGTCACCCATATCCACTTGTGAGTATTCGGAGAATTTTTTTTTTCCGCAGACTGGGGGCGCTGTGTTGGGCACAACTCTGAAGGACACTTACGGTACTGGCACTGGTCGCCCAGGAAGTCCACGGGACACTGGCACTTAGGCTGGTTGCCCTGGCTGACCGAGCAGTTGCCGCCACTTTGGCAGTATTCCTGGCAGGTGTGCAGATTACACACGGGGCCCGTGAAGCCGGGGATACAGCGGCAGGCAGGGGAGCCTAGAAGGAAGAGCCAGGGGACAGGGTCAGCTTCCAGGTGGGTTAGGGGGGGATGACGGAATTGGGGAGGGGGGCAGGCGTTACCTGTGGCGGAGGCTGTGCAAGTGCCCCCATTCTGACAATGGTCTCGGCACTGATCCACCTCGCATTTCTCACCGCGGTAGATGGGCTGACAGCGGCACTTGGGCTGCTTGTGGGCATTGAGGAAACACTGCCCGCCGTTCAGACACTGCAGGGTGCAGGTGCCAGGAGAGGGCGCTGGCAGGATCAGAGGGAAACAGAACCCATGTCAGCCGGAGGGTCTCCAGCAGGTATGAGTGTACGACAGCGCAAAAATCGAGACATTTTGTTAAGAGTGGCACTCACGAGCAGGGGAGAGCGTGGGGGAGGGGACCTCCACACAAGTGCCATCGTCCAGCTGGTGCCCGTTGGGACAGGTGCAAACCGGACCACTGGGACTCAGCAAACAAAGCCACTCGCACTTCTTCCTGTCACATGGATTGGTCACTGGGGAGCAAAGTGGGTGGTATTGGGGTCATTAACTGATTTCAATGCATTTATCACTGGCCACCATTTGCTAGGTATATATCCTGTGTTACGGTACAGGTACAAGCTGTAGGTCGGGTGCGAAAGCCAAACGAGGCTCAGAAAACACCAGGCAGCTGGAATAAAGATCCGACGGTTCATCTGCAGGAAGCTCATATTCTATTCAACAGCTCCTTCGGCCCAGGGACACTCACTCTCTGGCTGCTTGTAGCGGTGGTACAGAACAATGTCAGTGGCATGGTTGATGGCCGTGGTGAGGTTCTCCATGGGCCCCTTGCCAAACTTGTTCACCCGGAACACAAAGTTATTCACGTAGGTGACGCCGTAGATATAGTCCTCGAAGATGTCGATGCTGAAGGGGTGGTGGAGGTCTGCAGAGGAGAGACGTTCAGGCTTAGCATCTCAAAAACGTCATCATTTTAAAAGGGAGACCGAGGGCAGCGGGAGGCCGGGAGCCCAGAAACAGCCGAAAGGAGGACACTGAACTGTTCTTGAGGCCGCTGACGGCCACCACGGGGTCGCTGCCGTTGAGCCGCACGCTGCCAATCACGGACAACTTGGCGTCGGCCCAGTAGAGTCGCTCGTTGAAGTAGTCCACAGCCAATCCTGTGGAAATGGACCAGTGACTTATTCCCTGGCGCGAGTGACTATGTTCCACTACAAGGAGAATGCAGTGTGTTTGTGCTGGTCAGTTGACACTGGAGGTGAGACACAGACCTGTGGGCCACTGGATGCTGTCCTGAACCAGCGTTTCTCTCATAGTCCCATCCATGGCTGCTGTTTCAATCTTTGGGTGATTTCCCCAGTCTGCCCAGTACATTTTCCTGATTGGGAGGCAAACAGCAGCTAATTTCTTTATTTGAGCAAGGACTAAAGCTAGACAGTGTTAGCTTTAGGTTTAAAACATTAACTGAACAGTCAAATCATTCTAAACGCCCCTATTAACATGTCTGTGAGCAAAGGTTAGTTCCTGAACATGAGATAAAAGGCGGTCAAGCTGAATTTCAGCACTTCTGTGTTTGTCACTGATGTCAGCTAACTGAATAACTGAAAACGTTTGAGAAATTAATTTTCTGTCTTTTCTCACTTTTCCCATCCCTCCATACTTGTTTGGGATGTAGAGGTGTGTGAAACACCAAATCTATTCAATCCTACTCAAACAAGCAAACTGCAGGTCTTTCTGAGTCCTCCAATGGGTTTTACTCACCCTCTTTGGGGATCGACCACAATGGCGTAGGGCTCGTCGATCATGCCGGAGATGAGGGTCTTGCGGTGCCGTCCGTTGATCTGGGCCACCTCAATCACGTCCCGGCCAGAGTCAGTCCAATAGAGGTTGCCGGCGACCCAGTCCACTGCGATGCCACGTGGCATCTTTAGATGTGGGATCTGGATGGAAGTCACATGTGGCACAGAAATGCGATCAGAATAGTATGTTAAGAGATCATCCTCACTACCGCAACACGTCGTCTTTGTTCTTCTGTAAGACAAAAGCAGGCTATCTGACAAAAGTTAAATGAAGTCTGCACTAGTGGCCAAAATTGTGGAAACCAATAAGATTGTAGAGGAGGTGGGTTCAAGCAACTGGAGGAGGCAAGACTAACCAATCAGGTGTCTTGGTCCCGCCTCCTCTAGTTGCTTGAACCCACCTCCTCTACAATCTTATTGGTTATCTCTCTGAAAGTTTTTGTGTAAGTAAAACTCCCACGAGTGCTCGGGCTGCCTAGTTTTAGGAGCAGCTCTGAAGGGCCATCAGTTGGCACGTTGGTGCTGGAGGACACGACCGCAAGACCCCAAGTTGATGCGGGTGACCGAGTGGGTCTCGTACCTCCAGGTCGGTGACACCTGCGTCAGTCTGTCTCCGGTTGCGGTGAGAGTTCGAGTTGGGTGAGGATGCGGATCCTGAAGCGGGCAGCTCATAGGTGGAGATGCGGCCCGTGTGCCAGTTCGTCCAGAAGATCTTATTGGATTTGACGTGCAGGTCCATGGCGTCGATGCGGACATTGGCATCACCCTGGAACGTCTGTTCATACACCCAGTTGGGCGTGCTGGGGTCCAGGCTACGGATCTCATTGTCGTCGGCGATGTAGAGCACCTGTCCGTTGCTGTTTAAGTCTGGAGGGAGGGGTGTTAATGATGATGAATTTTCATTGGCTACCCATCGTCAATCAAGGCACCAGGGGCACACAGGGCCACGAGGGGCACAAACTCACTGTCAGCTTTGCACGTGTCGTTGATCTTGGTGAAGTGCTTGTGGCAGGTGCACTTGTACGAGCCCTTCGTGTTGTTGCAGATGTGGGAGCACAGGCCGAACTGCTTGCATTCATTTTTGTCTGGAAGAACATCAGAATGAGGGTACAGTTAGGTAAAGACGTCACCAAAACGTTGATATTTACGCGAAAGATCACTGCCTTCAGGAATGTATCTCGTAAACCCTGCCCAGATCTGGAGAACCTTGGCACTTCTGAAGCTCCACAGCCACACGCAACACCTGAAGGACGATGTACCTTCACAGCTGTTCTTGCCGACCTTCTGGAAGCCGGGTTTACAGGTGCAGAAGGAGTCGCTGCCGTTGGTGACGCAGTGCGCCTCGTCCACACATGACTGGGCGCCGTGGCGGCAGCTGTTCAGCGGCGTGTCTGCGGGGGAAATAAAGAGGTATCGGGGGGGTCAGCGAGTGACGTTTTGAGGCATGTTGTTTCCCGTGGGGTCGGCCCCCCCGCAGCACCTCGCTTGCAGTCGATCTCATCGGAGCCGTAGTCCTCGCAGTCATTGAAGAAGTTGCAGCGCAGGTTTGAGCTGATGCACTGACCGTTGCTGCACTGGACCTCATCCTTCCCACAGGTGGGGGTGCCCGAGGGGACCTCTGCTGGTGGGAGGAGGAGGCACACTAATGAGACAAACAGCTAGACACTAGGGTACTGTGGAGAAACGTACAAGCCTGAACATGGTCTACAAGGGGAAGCTGGTATCAGCAAGGGTCAGGGGGGCGGGTGGCTTCCTCAGTGGGATCCCAAACGTGGACTGTCTGGGGGTCTGCAAGGACCGTGCTGGGAATCACTAGGTTAGGACACTGTGCCAGTGATTGGGGACACTCAGGTCACAGGAAGGGCACTGGGGACACTAAGGTCACAGGAGAGGCACTGGAGACACTCACGGCAGTTCAGCTCATCCGTGTTGTCCCCACAGTTGTCAACGCCATTGCACTGCTTGCCGATCCAGAGGCACACGCGGTCATTTCGGCACCGGAACTGCCTGGACGGCGGACAGTGGAACTTTTCTGGGAAACAAAGGGCGTCGTTAGAAATAGAGGCAGACTTACCCTACAGCGCCCCCTGGCAGACAGGCAGACAAGTGCAAACTCACTGCACTCCTCTGGGTTCTCATCAGAGTTGTCCCCGCAGTCATCCTCGCCATCACACTTCCAAGCCAGAGGCTTACACAGGGTGTTGTTACACTGAAATTCGTCCAGGGGGCAGTGTCGACCCACTGGGGCAGCCGGGTGGTAGAATGCAGGAGAAAGGAACAGGTTTTAATTATACATGCAAAATCCAGTTTATGCATAAATGTATGACTGGATAATTTGACTGCATACTATAGTTTCTGACACACATACAGTCTGATCAAGGGCTTTGCGAAACCACTGGCTAGTGGCTAGGCTAACGGGATTAGGGACTAGGCTAACGGCATTAGCAACTAGGCTAACAAAGCTACTGGCTAGGCTAATAGATTAGTGATTAGGCTAAAGGAGCAACAATTAGAACGGCAGGTGTGAGGCCAGGCTGGGGGGCCCACGGGCCAGCAGTGCTGCTCACCTCCGCTGTCACACTTCTCCTCGTCACTGCCATCCAAGCAGTCGGCGTCAGCGTCACAGCGCCACCGGATGGGAATGCAGTGGCCATTCTTACACTGGAATTGGTCGCTGTCACATTTCAGGTCACAGCCGTTCTGATAGCCGGGACACAAGGGAGCTGGAGTCATGATTTATTTACGAGGGACGTGCGTGGAAAGTTCACATCGAACATGAACAAGCCGCAAATACAAATTCAGCAGCAGTTTCTGTGTAGACTCTTAATTCTGTCCTAACAAGAGCAAGAGAGGCAATTTCCCCCTGTGTTGGTTCACTGGATCCTTCATTAACAATTTAAATGAGTTTTCTGGTCGGCCGGGTCCAGATGACGAGACGAGCATTTCAATTATTAGGGACCCAGCTCCGCTCCAGCGAGCAGCGGCCTGCTGACCCATCTGTGAAAGTCGTCACCTCCCTCTCTCGTACCCACAGCGCTACCTGCTGGTCCCTACCTCATCGGACCCGTCAGCACAGTCGTGGTCTCCGTCACACTTCCACCTCCCAGCGATGCAGCGGCCGTTGGTGCAGGCGAATTCACTTTCGGAGCACTGGCGGGGAACTGAAAACGGGGGGAGAGCAAGCATTGAGGGAGGGGGCCTTGAACCCACCCACACGCACATACTGAATGTGGCTGGTCAACACTGCAGTTTCCCTGTTCTTCAGACCACAGGTGTATCTCCATCTCCTACAAGAACGCCCAAGAACACCACCTGCTTAGCCCTCCGATGGGACCTGGGGGGGGTACTGTGATGCAGGGACTCTCATGCCTTCACACCATAATTAGACCCACCGTTAATTGACTTTGGGCACGTTAGACACATGCAGCAATAAAATGCTGGCATATGCAAACAAACATTATTACACTGAACATCTGGTACTGTGATTTTGGCACAAGCCAGGTCTGGTCTTGGAGTAGAACCAGACATTGTTCTGCAAAGGCCAGTGGTGGGCAGCTGCGCAGATTTCATGGACGGTGCCCAGTTGATGATGATGAATGATGCCAAATATTAGCGTGCCGGCCTGGTTCTGCCCCCTCCCTGTAAAGCTACAAAAGTCATCAAGGAAACAGCAGGGGGCAGCTGGCTTGGGGTGTGTGGGGGGGTGTGTGTCTGACTTTGCAGCAGTCAGCAGTCCATGTAACACCGAGTCACGTGTGACCATTAAATTGACCAATGAAAATTAATAACATTCCCCAAATCTACGACATCAACAAAGGTGCTAAACACCCAAGTCAAAGCTAAGCGTGACTCAGCGGAGTCTTCCATTTTTGTACGTACTTCCCATGTTCGTGAATAAGCTCTTATGCTTTTTTAAACCCATCTGTTAATTTACACCTATCGTCTTTCTGTCCATGGACGTGCTTTGAAATCTATTTGCACCCAAAGCTGTTCCACATACATATCCCGCGTATGTGAATGCAATTTTAATTCGTCAGCTGTTTCTGCCACACTGTATTGAATTACTTTTGACTTTCAAAGAGCGCATAGATGTACGGACTCCCAAAACGGGAGCCCTGATCTGGCAACGGATGAGAAACAGCAGGGCTGGGGATGCTGAGGGACCGGCAGAATCTCTCCCACAGCCCAGACAGATCCACAGCAGGAGGTCACAGCACTGCAACAGCGACTCATCATGCAAGGGGGGTCAGGACGTTGGAGGACAGGAAAGGGGTGGGGGGGGGAGGCTGCATGCATAATTAATCCACCATACATCCGGTCATTCATTAGCGGAGCCAACGTGCTCCAGTCAGGAGACCTGCTATCACACCATCACGCCTCAGCCAAAATCAGCCTCACACTGGTACCAGTTCCACTGCCTTTGAGTAACATTGAAAGTCACGCATTACAAAAAAAAAAAAAGTGCTGGAAAAAAAACCAAAAACCCCTAACGGCGGAGGACTGGGACTGTGCCTATAACAGGTCTATGTGTAGATAACACTCTACACTGTTTCAGGTCATGATCCTATTTGCAATGAAAAGTTGACTAAAGCCATTACAATCTGAGTATACAAAATACTGCCCTCTAGTGTTAAAAATAGCAAATCCTAAAGTCTAAATCCAAAACATTTTCCAACAATACACTAGTGGTTCCACTAAAAATAAAGAGTGCAGTCCTTCTTGTCTGGGAGGATACTCACAATTCCCACTAAGAAAAAGACTTTACACAGTACATATATATTTATGTATGATGAGGGAAGAGGTCCACAGTCTGTTCCAGCAAGGAGCCTCAATACCAGCTGGTGGTGCTTTTAGACAAGCAACGATAACAGTTATAAAGTCATGGTCAAAAAACCAGACGAGAGATCAAAGATGAGGAAGGGCGTGGTCAGAAACCAGACAGGAGGTCAAAGATGAGGAAGGGCGTGGTCAGAAACCAGATAGGAGGTCAAAGATGAGGAAGGGTGTGGTCAGAAACCAGAGAGGAGGTCAAAGATGAGGAAGGGCGTGGTCAGAAACCAGACAGGAGCTCAAAGATGAGGAAGGGTGTGGTCAGAAACCAGATAGGAGGTCAAAGATGAGGAAGGGTGTGGTCAGAAACCAGACAGGAGGTCAAACGCCAGGTGTGAGGTCAACAAGGCAAGCAGTAAAAAATCCTAGCAGGAGGCAGATGATCAGACAAAGGCAAAGAGCAGGTGGAAGACCTTCCCATGGGGGGGAGTCGGACGCAGCACTATGCCAAACTTCACATCCCACTAATTAACTGTTGCTAGGGACCACACACAGCTTATTTTGGAGGGGGGGGGGGGGACTGGGAAGGGGTGATTAGATTTGCTGGTGGCAGGGGTAGGGCTGACTGTAGACAGGGTGGATGGGATTGTTGAAAGTGAAGACACCTACCTCTGACTCATGCCAGCAGGTCAGTGTGAAATAAAGCGAAAACATAGCATGAGTGGAGATGAGCCGATGGTCACGAAAACGGAAAAGAATAAAAACAGCCTCATGTGGCACAGGAGTACAAGTGACACAGCACCTGTAAGACCGGCTGTTCCAGGAAATCTGTCACGTAGTAGTTACAGCATGAGGCAAACGATGAAGGATGAAGAGAGTAAGACGAGTGAGGAGCATACATGAGGTCCGGGTGATGTTGGTGTGACGAGCATGCTGTCACTGTGTGTGTGTGTGTGTGTGTGTGGGTGAAGTGGCCGGGCCCTTACCGCACTTGTCCTCATCGGAGTTGTCACCACAGTCGTTGTCATAGTCGCACTGCCAGCGGCCCGGAACGCACCGGTTGTTTTTACAGCGGAATTGGTATGGCTCACAGGTCCGCTCATCTGGGGGGGGGGGAACGACATCTTAACACCACCCTGCATTAGGTTTTTCCCCCGATTATGTGTCCCCAGGTCGCCGGCTCCTTCCGCCCTCTGAGCCCTCAGGCTCCGTCATGCCGCATCACCCTTTTAAACTCCATCTGCGACTGTGGAGGTTCAGATCCGGCAGTGACCACAGATTACAGTCAAGTTACCCGGCTTTTCTTAAGCGCGGCAGATGGGACACAGTGACGGACAGAGTGAACTGAGAAGCTGGGATGGAGCCCTCCCTGACCCCGCCCCTGACCCCACCCCTCCAGGACCCTGAGCCCCTGACCCCGCCCCTCCAGGACCCTGAGCACCTGACCCCTCCCCTCCAGGACCCTGAGCCCCTGACCCCGCCCCTCCAGGACCCTGAGCCCCTGACCCCACCCCTCCAGGACCCTGAGCCCCTGCTCACCGCACTCCTCCTTGGGCTCGTCGGAGGAGTCCCCACAGTCGTCCTCTCCATCACACTTCCAGCGCGCTGGAATGCAACGGCCCGAGTCCTTACAGCGGAACTCGTCCACGCCGCAGATCATCTGGGCTGGAAGGAGACACCGGGAGGAGGTTATATACAGAGAGGAGAGGCGAGAGCAGGAGAGGAACAGCAGGGGGCAGCCTTACTGCAGTTGGCGGGCTCATCGGAGCCGTCCACGCAGTCGTTGTCGCGGTCGCACACCCACACGCGGGGGATGCAGCGCTTGGTGATGGAGCATTGGAACTGGTTGGGGGCGCAGGTGACCTCGGCTGCGGGGGCGAGAGACAGGAGGCGGCATCATGGGGGAGGAGTTACCTGCACGCAGTAGGACTGGAGGCGGGAGAGTGGGGAACAGTGCCGGCACAGAGAGCCACATCTGGAGATCCAGCGTGTAACCGGGGAAAGGCGGCCCGGGACACAGCAGGACAAAGGCCGCCTTGCCGGATTTACGCTGAACCGGAAAGCTCCGCTCGGCAGGCAGAGGAGGATGAAAACGCGAGACAGGGTGGTGGCGGCGGTGGGGGCGGAGACTCACGGCAGTCCTTCTCGTCCTCGCCATCCCCGCAGTTGTCCTGCCCGTTGCAGCGGAAGATTCCGGGGATGCAGCGGCTGGGCTGGGTGCATTTGAACTGGCTGGGCAGGCAAACGTGGATGTCTGGATGGGAGACATGGAGCAGGGAGAGGAGTCTGATGATCATCCTCATCATCATCATCATCATCATCCTGCTCCTGGTGGTGAGGGGTTGCCTGCATAACTGGGCGGGATTTATCTCCTTTTAAAGGGCCGCATCCCCATTTCGGATCTGGTACTTCAACGTGAATCGTGCTAAGATGTGCTCCCTGGCCTTCATTCTCCGCCAGAATGACCTGGACCAACGAGGCCTCAATCTGCCAGTGAGGGGGCGGCTGGGGAAGGACACGGCAGAAGCCGGGCAGGGGGAGACGCCGTCGTACCGCAGTTGGCCTCGTCAGAGTTGTCCTGACAGTCGTTGTCTCCATCACAGATGTAGGCTGGGTTGGTGCAGATCCCAGTGCCACACTGGAACTGGCCTGGTCGGCATTTGAACTCGGCTGTTGGGGCGAGAACACAAAGCCAAAGTAGTTACTGGAGTCATGGGAGGCAAGGGATTCATTGTGAAGAGGTGACCTTGTTCTTCAGGCAGTCATGGACCAGTGCCGCCTGTAACTGCTCCAGTAGGGGATACTGGGGGGCGTCAACAGCCACTGTTCCCTTATTTCTACCTGGTGAGCTACCTTTGAACTTATTCAGTTCTACTATGATTCATTATCACCAGATGAGACATTCAGTCCGAGTGAATGTTGCAGCCTGGTGTTGGTTCCGGAAAGATCAACAAACTCACGGCAGTCGGCGGGCTCGTCGGACCGGTCCCCGCAGTCGTCCTCAGTGTCACACTTCCACCAGAAGGGGATGCACTTGTCGTTCTTACACACAAACTGTACGGACAGCAAGAGATCCATGAGTACAGATCTACAGGGCGGACTAATGGGTCCGGCCCCAGGTTCGACGCGGACCCGTGCCCCCTACCTGGCTGGCTGTGCAGTTGGACATGCAGCGGTGCCCGTCGTGGGCCAGGTAGAAGTTGGTAGGGCAGGCGCACTTATAGCCGCCGCCCGGCGACAGAAGGCAGAGGTTGGAACAGCCACCGTTGTTGGTCTGGCATGGGTGGTTAGTCACTGCAGCAGGACGAGGGTGCGGGCGTTCAGCATGACTGCCCTTCCTGTTTGCATCCCTCCCCCCCCCGTGTCGGTAAACCCGTTAAAAGTCCTACCCCCAAATAAAGTTCCTGTTCCTTCCTCCCACCCTAGTGCTGCATTGTTCTGATGCAAATGCTACAGCTCTCATCTCACCAACGGCACTTAAAGCTAGTTACTGACTATAAACACAGGACCAAGATTGGCGGCACGGTGCCCCCCCCCCGCCGCACTTACCCTCAGGCTGCCGGGATGGGTGGAAGATGTGGATGTCCATGGGCCTGTGGAGGGTGCTGATCAGCATGGTCTTATTGGTGCCCATGGTCTTGTGAGCCCTGTTGATAGACTTGGTCTCCCAGTCGGTCCAGTAGATATATTCCTCAAACAGGGTCATGGCAAAGATGTGGGGAATGTCCTGGCTCAGTACTGGGAACACAAAAGGACCAGGGAAGGCAGGGTGAGTCTCCTGGTGAGATCCATAGAAATGAACCCTCTCGGAGTGCTTTAATACACCCGTCCTCCATGGTCTGCTTATAATATTATACCCATCTTTCTTCATTCCGGTCGTTCTCCTAACAGAAAATGTGACTGCAGATACATATTTATTTTTTCCTCTGTCTGTATCTCTACGCGCTTGATAATTTGGGAGCGAACCCCATGCCCCTGTCAGCCGAACAGGAGCCGACGCCAAGCTGGCGGCTTCTGGACGCCCACAGCTCCCCTCGTTAGTCATTTCATTATGCTGATGTATGAGCCTGAGGCAGCCTGCTAACTCGCTGCTTTCACAGTTTCTGAGAAAGCGGAGGGGGTCGCATCAAGGCCTGAAGAGCAGCGGGCACCTGGGGACCAAAGTCCTCAACGAGGACAGAGATACAGCGCAGCTCCCTACGCAGGCAACGGTGCACGAGGAGAACCACATCTACTGACTGACTCACCTATAGTAGGCGGGTTTCTGCTTTTGACTTTGACATCTAAGTTCTGGCCCTGGGAAGATCATGACCGCTGGTTGGTCATGTTGAGTTTGTTGGGTGGACAGGTTCGTACGCCACTGGGCCCAGTTTGCACAGAGTCCCAACCCAGCCGGTCTCCAAGATGCCTGACCTGTGTGACGGCTGGTTCCATCCAGGCTGGAGAACTCGATGTAATCCTCCCGCGCGTCGGCCCAATAGATGCGGTCGTTGATGAAGTCTAGCGTCAGGCCGTTGGGCCAGGTGATGCGCTGCTGAACGATGACGCTGCGGTTGCTGCCGTCCATACCGATCCTCCCAATGTGGGGATTATCGCCCCAGTCTGACCAGTACAGGTACCTGGGTAATATAGGAGTTTGGGCTGGTTAATAAGATAATATGGTTGATATTGCAGTACTCATCCAAACAAAGGAAGTGAGCTTATATAATCTTTTATAAGGGTATATAAATCACAGCGATCAATAGGAATGAGGAAGTCAGGTCTGAAGGGGCGGAGCCTCACCCATTACGCACGTCCACCGCCACCGCACGCGGCTCCCGCAGGCCCGTGCTGACAAGCACCGTCCGAAAGGCCCCGTCCAGCCTGGACACTTCGATGGTGTCTCTGCCCTTGTCGCACCAGTAAAGATTCCCACCCACCCAGTCGACAGCCAAGCCATCCGGGTTGCTGAGGGAGGTCCGGTGCAGCACCTGGCCAGAGAGCCAATCAGAAAGTGAGTGTGCAGCGGGGGCGTGGCCGGAGGCAAGACGAGGTGGCCCTCACTGACCTGCACGTTGCTGCCATTGATGTGCATGCGCCGGATCATGCTACCCTGCGTCGTCACATCCGTCCAGTAGATCATCTGTTCTCTGTAGTCAAAGTCCAAGGCCACTGCGTTGTTCAGGCCCTGCACCCACACAGAAACGCACAAAGATTTAGTCCATCACAGAAACTGCAACTTCAAAGGCCATAAAGAGCTAAGTGCAGCACTAAAGAATGAGGAAGTAAATGCTTATCGCAGTTCAATGGCTCATGCCAGGTTGGCCTCAGGTTGTTTTCACTAATTAACATTCACTGGGCCTCACCTGCTTCAGGAGGGTGTAGTTGGAGCCGTCCAGGTTCAGCTTACGCAGGTAGTAGCGGTTGGCAAATATCAGGAAGGGTTCTTCCGCTGACAGGAGAGAGGAGAAGGAGAACAGAGCCAAGCGTGGTGAACCAGATGGTCGCAACGAACAGACAGCTACCAAGGACAGCTCTTGAGTCACCAGAGACTCATCTAGGTGTCGAGGAGTCCTTCACTTTATAGGAGACACGCTCTGCTGAGTGTACTGGAGAGCGTCCCCACCTGGATGTGTCATGGTAGAGCATTGCGGCAAAGACATAACCATAGATGCATCCTTCCAGGCAGCCCACTGGCAGTTACAGATATCAAAAGGCCGTCCTTACCTGAGGTCGACTTGCAGGCTGTGGGGTCACTGGTCCGGCGCTCAAAGCCCTCCACACACTGGCAGTGGAAGCTGCCGTAGGTGTTGATGCAGCGCTGGGAGCAAGGGTAGGAGGACCGGCACTCGTCGATGTCCATGCAGGTCTTGCCGTCCTCCTTTAGCTGGAACCCAGGATGGCATCTGCACTGCAGGGGGAGCAAGAGAACAAGCCGTTACACCGGCCGTCCTTCTGTTGCCACCCGTTTGGATGAAAAATTAAGCTCCTTGATGGAGATTATTTTGCTTAATGAAATGATTTATATTTAATTTAGTCCAGCTTGACATTTAATTCAGTTAATTAATTCAGGCACCTTTTCCATTACAGTCAGGAATCCTGACTGCACCCTTCAGCATAGGTGATGTAGTGATTGCCACAGAGATGGGCTACTTAAAAGGATTAACTGTTTTACTGCAAATCAAATCTTTTAGCACAGCACAAACAGCAAATCAGCCGCATCCTTAAAACAACAGACTGCATAAACTATATCCATGCTTAGACGGAAGTTAGACTAAAATATCTCTGGCCCAGGTCACTCATCCCTAAAATACCACGGTCCCTGTGTCCTCACTGCATGGGGCTCGTCATCCGCAAACACCTCCGCTTCTGTCAGAGCCCGGCTGCCCCCGGGGGCCCGCTGAGCGGAGCGGGGAGGGGAGGGGCCCTACCTTGTACCCGATCTTGAGGTCCTCGCACATCTGGGAGCAGCCACTGAGTTTGCTGTTCAGACACTCGTTTATGAAGCAGTTGAGCTCGTCGGAGCCGTCTCCGCAGTCGTCGTTGTAGTTGCACAGCAGGGTCTCGTTGACGCAGTTGCCGTTCTTGCACATATACGCCGTGTCGTTGCACTTCTTCTCTGCTCCGGGAGACACGGCACAGGGAGAGAGCGTCAGTCGGCATTCGGAGCGGCTCTCTCCGCTGCATCCAAGACGATTTCCGAAGGCTATGCAAATATGGATCCCATTTTTGCTAATTTCAGTTATGAGACAGACTCAAACTAGCACACTTCTGATTTCTCAGGACAAAATCGCTACCAGCGGTCTTTTAGAAAGCATTCCTCAATCTTAAAGAAAGTGAACTCATTTAGAGTGAAAGCTGGTGAATTTGGCTGCCACTGATCTCCGAGGAATTTTAACTTAATATAGTAGTTTAATATAGTGGTTTTTATATCTATTTTTAACTTTGTATTTTTAAATTTTCGATTGTGCACCATAGTTCGATAATTCTGGTTTCAGAATTATCCGCTGATATTATTAGATCTGCCCCCGGTGATCTAGCGGACCAATGTTCCTGATCGCCAGGATGCGGATTCTCACAGATAGTTGGCTTAGGTAATACTGCAATCCAGCTCCTGTGCATTCACGTGCATTTCAGCCCCGCCTGCTCTGCTTGTCCATCATTACAGTCTTGGGTGGCCAAGGTACATTCACAGTGGATCACGATGGAACTTTTCCTATAGCAAGAATGGATCTATTTCTTCCTTTTGATCCACCGATTCCTGACCCCCAAGGAAACCACACAGATTTGCTAACCAGGTGGCTGGCAGCCCTGTCCAAGTTAGACGCAAAGCTTCTGCTACTTCTCTAAAATTGGCTTTATTCAACATTAAGTGCCTTACTAACAAGGCTCCATTACTATACAAATTCAATGAAGACCAAAAAATTGACTTTCTATGTCTCACAGAGACATGGCAGCAGCCTAAGGAATTCCACAGTTAAACCAAACAATTCTACCCTGGTTTGTTTACATTAATAAATCTCTCGTAGCTGTGGTTGTGTACAGGCCGGCGAAAAAACATCAGCTGCTTTCATTACTGATTTCTCGTCTCTACTGACTCATCGGTCCACTGTCTTGTAATACAATTTTACTTCGAGATTTTAATACTCATTCTGATAATTCCAATAATACTTTTGCTAATGATTTTATTTCTACTCTGTAATGCTTAGGTCTCAGTCTGTGAATTCTCCCACACATAAAGGACATATCTTAGATTTAGTTTGTTGCTCAGACATCGCACCTTCTAATTTCTCTGCTATTGAATTTCCCATTTCTGGCAATAAGGTTGTTTGATTTGATGCCCATTTTCCATTGACCAAAGTTATAGCTGAGCAGACCATTACTTTTCATAATATTAAACTTGACAGGTTTATCCAATTTCATAGCTCACGTCCCGGTCCTGCTTGATGCCCTTGCTGAGCATTATAACACCCTACCAGATGCCCTCCACAAACCAGAAAGGATTCTTTTCTCCACCCTGCTCTCTGTTACACCCCTGAACTTCGTCAGTTAAAAACCACAGGCCGCCATCTTGAATGTCTTTCCACTAAAACTGGTCTGGCTGCTCAAAGGCAGATTCTGGTCATCTACACTGCTATAAGAATGATATTAATAGTGCAAAATCCTCCTGTTACTCATCTATTACCAGCTCAGCAGAGAGTAAGGTTGCTCTTCTTCAACGTGAGCAGACTTCAACAGCCAGGCACATATGTCAGTTTACCTGAAGAGCTGCTGCTGTAACTGACCACCACTTTCCATTTCACTGTACCTACAGGAAGTGACATGTGTCGGCTTATTCTTAAATTTAAATAATTCAGCTTGATATTTAGGACGGGTTATGGACATGGATAATTTGGCAACTCCTGTGCACCTTCCATAGTGTGTTCTTGGACGGGGGGGGGGGGGGGTGGCCAGTGACACAGGCCAGGACGGCGACTTGAAAAAAACACAAATACTACATGCTAAAGGCTAATTGTGGGTACAAGATATTTTCAAGAAGCACAGTAGCAGGACCCCCGCATGGGACCCCAGATGCCAGCAGGAGGCGCTAACCTGGGCTGCTGCAGCGGGGGTTGTTGGGAGCCTCGTCGGACCGGTCATGGCAGTCGAATTCACCATCGCACTCCCAGCTCTTGTTGATGAGGCAGCGGCCGTTTGCGCAGCGGAACTGGTTGGGCCCACAGGTGGGGTACTCTGTAAGGAGCAGAGTTTTTGGTCAGCTGACTAGCTGGGCCCCCGCCCTGCCCGCTCCGTCTCAGCGCGTCCCGCTCACCACACTCCGGGGATTCATCGCTGCCGTCGCCACAGTCGTTGTCATGGTCACACACAAAGTGTTTAGGGATGCACTGCCGGTTCTGACAAAGAAACTCCGCCTCGTCACAGGTGTTGTTGAGTACTGGGGGGAGGTTGGGATTTAATTACTCACATCATCACTTTCCGGCAGCAGATCTGGTCGTTAAGAGACATTCCCCTGACTGATCAGATACTGCTGAACGTTCTGTTCCAGAGCAGTGATACTGAATCATCCCTGTTCTGTAACAACAAACAGCAGCAGAGAAACTGGACACAGGAGCCCTGCCAGGCTTACCACAACCAGCCTTGACGCTCTCGTCGGAGCCGTCGGGGCAGTCCTTGTCCCCGTCACACTTCCAGCGCTGTGGGACACACACGTGCGAGTCGGGACACTGGAAGGCCTCGGGGCTGCAGGTCTTGTTTTCTGTAGGCAGATGAAGGTATGGTTGAGATAAACCTCCATGTGCCTGCACTGCTTCAAAGGCGTCCAGCAGGACTTACATGAGAAACAAAAACAGTTCAGATTTTTGAGATAACCAACTCCAGCTTCCAGAGCCCCATGTCCTCCGCAGCCCAGGAGTGTGTCCCTGTAGCCATGGCCGAGGCGGTGAGACTTACTGCATCCACGTCTGTCCTCGTCCGTGCCGTCCCCACAGTCGTCGGTACCGTCACACAGCCAGGTGTAGGAGATGCACCGGTGGTTGGCGCATTCAAACTGTGATGGGGAGCAGAACTTGTCTAGAGAGAGGGAGAGAGGAACAGTCAGGAGGAGCAGCCGAGAGAGGAACAGTCAGGAGGAGCAGCCAGAGAGGAACAGTCAGGAGGAGCAGCCAGAGAGAGGGGCAGACAGGGGGAGCAGACAGGGGGACTGAGAGAGGGACAGTAAGGGGGAACAGTCAGGAGGAGCAGCCAGAGCGGAACAGTCAGGAGGAGCAGCCAGAGCGGAACAGTCAGGAGGAGCAGCCAGAGAGAGGGGCAGACAGGGGGACTGAGAGAGGGACAGTAAGGGGGAACAGTCAGGAAGAGCAGTCAGGGCCGCCCAAACAGAGGCAGTCATGCGGAACACCGAGAGGAGCGGTTGGGAGGAGCAGAGAAAGAAGCGGTGGGGGGGAAGTGTGGGGGCGTGGCCATAGGCCTTACCGCACTGCGCCTCGTCAGCGCCGTTCTCGCAGTCATACTCCTTGTCGCAGGTCCAGCTCATGGGGATGCAGCGGCCGCTGGGACAGGCGAAGAAATTCACCGGGCATTTGCTCTTCCGCTTGTCTGTCGGGGAGGCAACACAGCCAGGTAATGAGGGGGACAACCGCACTTCCAGAACGTTCTCCACGCTGACACCCTGATCAGCTGCACAGATCAAAGCCCCAGTCCAGGAAATTTCATGGTACTTTTGAATGAAACAAGTAGCTGCCGAGAAACGGGCATTAAAATCCTGCCTCATCTTCAACAATCATCGCACTTCATATGTTAACTTCATGTAAATCAGGACGCGCTTCCTGCACAGACAGAGGGGATTCTGGGTTAGGGTTGCGGCCGGAGTGGGACGGGCCTGTGGCCTTCCTTACCCGGGCAGTTCCTCTCGTCTGAGTAATCGCCACAGTCATTGGAGCCATCGCAGACCCAGGAGGCAGCGTAGCACAAGGTGGTCATCTCACACTTCTGGAACGTCACTCCCTTCACCCCAAGACGGAAATAACTGGAGCAGTCGGTGGCAGCTGGGGGGTGCAAACAGCGGTCCGAATCAGCCTCGACCTTCTGTGATTTCAGCGTGAACTTAGGGCCACCAGTGAACATACATATTTAAGTGGGCAGCTGTGAAATGTGTGGATAAGCAGGCTAATTACACAGCGATTATATGACACTTGTCAGAAACTCAGGGTCCGAATGGATGCGGGGGGAACACAGATAAAGAATATTCAACTGTAACCCAGATGTTCCTGACCAAATGTGCTCAACTACGTTATTTCTGCAAAAGAATACACGCGGAGTGGAAATGAGTAAAAATGTAATCTGAACTGGAAAGTCAGTAAACGTGAGAATTGTACATAGAATTAAAAAAGTGGCAAAACGTTTGGGAGAATTTGGGGTATTTGGAGTCTTTCCATAATTTAACAGAGAAAACAGGCTGAAATGAAGCTATGAAATTCAATAAGCCAAAAGAGAACAGGGCAGACTGTCATCTCCTGCCTCTTGTGGCCAGGAGGACTTACAGCAGTTCATCTCGTCGCTGGCATCCTCGCAGTCCACTACCTGGTTACAGCGGCTGGAGTTGGTGATGCAGGCTCCATCCCGGCACTGGAACTCGTCCGCCGTGCGGCAGAGGGTCGCTGCAGGAGAGGAGGAGTGTGATGAGAGAGCTGCCATGGGCGTTTTACTGAACAAAACAGCAGCAATGCAGTGAGGCGCTGTGGTCCCGTCAGACCCCCTCACCGTTGCAGGGCACCTCGTCCGAGTTGTCCCCGCAGTCGTCAACCCCGTTGCACCAGAATCCATGACCAATGCAACGTCCGTTGAGGCAGCGCCAATAACCCTTCTTACACGTGCGGTGGGCTGTGGGGGGGGGGGGGGAGAGGTGGGGGATTAAGGCCTCCACATCTGGAACTGCTCTTTGCTTAAAAACAGAGTCCACGGAGCAGAAAAGCTTACAGCCATCAGATACAAACCCCAATGGAAATGAACTCAAACACAGCTCTGTCTAAAGAAACGAGCGCCGAAACACTGTTGGCCCCCGGGGATCAACGTCACAAGCCCTCAGGGAGACCCCGTCTTACCGCAGTAGGACTGCTTCTCGTCAGATTTGTCCTTGCAGTGCACCATGCCGTCGCAAGTCAGGCTGTAGTTGATGCAGTCGCCGTTGCCACATTCGAACTCGTCAATGCTGTTGCACGTGGTGTTCAGAGCTGGTGGGGGTGCACAGCGTCTCACCGTATATCTCAGCTTCTAAAACAACTCTGACCCCCTGGACCCGCTGATTGGCTCGCCCTCAGCTCCGCCCCCTCACCTGTACAGGTGTTGTCTTCCATGAGTCTGCGGTCGCCGCGGCAGCTGCAGTTCACCCGGCCTTCGGAGGTCAGCAGGCAGAGGTCCTGACAGCCACCATTGTTCACGCGGCATGGGGAAAACTCGCCTGCGCGGGTGGGGGAGGGAGAGCACGGAATAATTAATAGCAGACCCTGAAAGACATGCCCCCGCTTTAAATCAGACCCCATGGAAGACGATGGGCAGCCGCTTAGAAAGGCGCCACGCCCCAGGAAGACCGGTTTAGAGCGGATTAAAGTGCAGGCGGCTGAGAACCCATGTGTGTACGATTCCTTCACGCTGAGGTTTGACATTTCAGGCTAAAATACTTCTGCGCCTGATCCAGAGAAGACGTGAGCGACTTGTGGATCACATCAGGAATAATGTGCTTCTCAAACTGCAAACTGCAAAAGCAACGCTGCACTTACAGTGTTTGAGTTTATCTCCACCGATCGACGGTTAGTGAATGGAGGAGGACAGAGGGGCGGCAGGTTCAGCTTTCTGGATGGATGCCCTTTTGAATGACCACTGAGTGGCTCCAGTCTGGACAAGAACCCCCCCCCCTCCCCTCGTGATACCAAGGCAGCCCTTACCACAGTCTGCCAAAATGAGGCTGACTGCGATCCAAGAGAGCATTTTCCAAGCCCAGCCACACTTTGAGACTATTGTCCCCCACAACAACCAACGGCTGGATTCTCCTGTGTCAAATTCTTGTATTTTATCTGCCGTCAATGAGCACTGGAGACTCACTTTGTGAAAGTCAAAAGACAAAGAGATTATGAAAGGAAGACATCTGGTGTGTGCCTATGTGGGGAGGGGGGGGGGGTGCTACCCAGAATGGGAGAAGTGGGTGGATGTGAAGATTGTCTCGGGCCCCCCAGGTGTGAGCAGCTCATTCCAGCCCCTGGGCGCAGCCAGACTGCGTCTGTCACCTAATTACTGAATCTCTCCCCTCAGGA